GTTTACTCTTCCTGCTGGCTACCTTCAATATTACGCATACGACGGATAGGACGAACGACGAGGGCGGTCCGGGTGCGAAGTGTCAACCACTTGCAACTTTTGACGTTATATTTTTGTTGGTTTTCAATTAAAAAGTTTGCCTTATCCTGCTTTTGTTGCAGCACCCAACTGGCCTCCTCAGCAGCAGCAGCTCGTCACTTTTTTTCCAGTTGCCAGGACTCATTGTTCGGATGCCTCTGACAGCCTTCTGACAGCGTGCATGCAACACATTTCAGCCAAATGGAAATCGCAGACAATTGCCATTGACGTGGGCAAACCATTTAGGTAAATAATTGCTTTGCCAGCTTAGTCCGGCATTTACAGCAATCAAACAATGGCCAGCAATTTCCCAGGCTCCGAACTGAATTAATGTGTACTATATGTAGGTTGCATGAAATCACATGAAATATGAGTACATGAATGTTTAAAAACAAATGAGAGGTTCTCTATCTGCAGCCTGTTAAATTTAAAACAAAATAAAACTTACTGAAATGTAACCAGAAAGGCAGAAAGTTTTTATATTCTTGCGGTTAAAGTCATGTCTTCGTCACAGGAAATGAATTTCTAAAGCTTTATTTATTGATTTAATTGTGGAGTGTCTTTAGTTTTTGATACACTAATATAGGTGGTACTCAGGCAGCTAAGTCCTTAGTATAACAAGTAAACTGAAAATATCTCAAGTTTAATGTGTAAACTATTCTCCTAGTTTTCTCTAGTACTCCTTCGGTGGCTATACAAAATTGTTAATCCGACTTATATATCCGAAATAAAACGTCTTTTGATAGTAACCCAAAATAAACATAACCACAGCACTGGTTATGACATCTTCGCTGTGTTGTAAAATTCCAATTAGAGTAGTAATACCCTCTGTAAGGGTAAGCAATGCAAAACTGATGATGTACTTCTATATTTCACTTTGTATTTTATTATTTATTAAGGCTTTAGAATATTCGGTAGAAACATGAACATTCAGGAAAACTGCTTTTAGCAAAACTGATTTACATGAGATATTCCTAATGCACCTCCCACTACTGAGTATGATTGCCTAAAATATTATATTATATAAGTTGCACATTGCATTGACTAGTAACAAAGGAAATCAAAGAAAATTTACTCCCTGAAATAGGTATTTGTACTCATGTGAAATAGTAAGGACTCCCACTAAATGGTTTTAAAGGACCTTTCTTTAATACATAAATTCGTAAAGCGCTTTCTGCCAAGTTGATCGTAAATTTTGCTGACAAAACTCCGTTCCAGGCACGTTTTATTATCCTGGCGCACTTCCAAGCGTAATTGATTGATTGATGGATGGATGCATGGATGGACCATGGATGGAAGCAATAGCACACATGCCCACACCAAGCACATCCGAGCGGCCAATGGCCGATATTAAAGCCACGACATTCGGCCGAAAGTCCAGACAACTTAGCACATTTAATCTTTAATTAAGAGCAACAAAGGCGAAACGTTATCTGACCCTGTTCCAGGAGAGACGACCGCCCCTGCCGGCTTAAATGATGCGTTAAGATGACTCCGATGAAGGATCACGAAAGTGGCTTGCGGCTTTCGGGGTTTCTGTGGCCCAGTGGCCGCAAAAGGACTTTAAGGCCAAACACTGGGGAGCCGAAAAGACAAAAATGCCGAGGCAGGGCGGAAAAGGGCAGGCCAAATGGCAAATGGCAGAGTAAACCCCCCCTCAACATAATTCGCAAAGGCATTGCAAATGAATTAAATTACACAGAAGTGCGAAATAATGGCCGGCAGGCCAAAGAGTTGCGTGGCAAAGAGCCGAAAGCTATGCAAATGGACACTGAGCAAGTTGCGGAATGGGCCAGGACTCTGACCAGAAGGAGGTGGCTGCTAAGCTCGGAGGTGGCAGGGATTTTTGCAAAGACGAAATCCTATTAAAATTCAATTGTCTGTAAATAAAATGATGGCGTGACGAACTCGGGGGCCAGCGTGGATTGTTTGTCACTTAATTAAGGTTAATGTGCACGTCCGACTGGCAGCAAGGCTTAACTTCGGATCTGTAAACAAGTCCCATGCGTAATTAAATTTCCAATGAGAACGGCACAGCAGATGCTGCCGAACTTTGACCCCAGTCCTCCCATGCGGATGTAGTTTCGGAAACAGGACATCGAGCAAATGGGTTGTGCCGACTGTGCGACAAGTTTATTTCATTATGGCCAGCAAGCAAAACACTTCCTCCAGTCACTTCCTCCTGCTGAGCGACCATGTCGCCGCAGAATGCAATCAAATTGAAAGTTATCAAAATGTGTGCATAACGGTTTGTTAAATAGTTATTGTCCTGGCATTTGCTCCTCTGGCTGTCGCCTGCCCTTCGCGCCGCCACTTCCAGATAAATTTAATTACGCCAACAAGTCACACAAGTGTCTCTAACTAAGCGTTAGCAGCACTCCCGTACTCATCCACATCGCAAACAGATTTGCATGGCAAACAAAACTTTTCCCAGCCGCTCAATGTATGCGCATATCTAATGCGGCTCTGAATGCGGTCGTGACTTTTGTCCTCACTGTACGGGCAATCGGTTTGCGGAGGCTGCAAGTCCAGTAGTGACACATCATATCATATTTGGAGTGAATTTAGCAACAACTTTAGCCCGAAGCGGCTCTAACCCTCAAAGCAGCCATAAACGTTGTTTTGGAGAGACCAGGCGGATTAACTTGGTCCTCGCATGTATTCCTGCTCTTGCAGATAACCAATCATTTTAGCCATGTTCTGCTAACTACACCAAGCAAAGTGCTGAATGCTCGGATTAAATGGTAATAAGAAAAAATGTTCACAAAACAAGAAAGTACATTTTTAGCAAAGCTGAGCATGGTAAAACCATTTTTGAGAAATTTTCGGAATCAAAAAAAGTGTCATTTTGTCTCCAAAAGGACTTAAAAAAAGCCACAAGCCACATAGATCCTTTTTAATTAAAGGATGTCATTTTTTTCCTCTCCAATAATTAAAAACATAACAGATTGCTTCGAAACATTTCGCACAATTTATTCGGTTGTTTCATTATTTTACGTGAAATCACAGAAGTATTTTTGACATAAAATAATTTAACAAATAGCTTTTCGGTTTGCCCCATCACAGCTTATAGCTTATAATTTTCTATAAAAACGTAGTATGTATATAAAAATATATATATAAAATACACAAACTATTGACACCCCTTCAGGTGACCGCACTATTCTCGATTTCAAAATGTCATCGTTTTTAATGGGCAGGAAAATGAAAACCAATTATTGAAGTAGCTTGAAGCCTGATTATTTATTTATTATTATTATTACAGTATGCACATTTTCGAGTAATTTGTTTTTTTGTGTTGTGATAGATATAAATATACTCGAATATAAGTTATTAAAATGCCTCTCCCCTTATTTCCATGTATCATATATGATTCGAAATTGTAAATATTCCGTAGAAAGCAATTTTGATTCTGCTTGTGTACGCATCAGCAGAGCGTCTTTTTGCAGGCTATCGTAAATACTTGAGGAATTTCCTTATCAAACCAAGCCGAAAAGTTTCCCGAAGTTTGCTTGTGGCTGGGGTATAAAAGTGTGATATGATGGCTTGGGTTTTATTGTCTCGGCTGGATTGCAACTCCCTTTATGGCTGGCACACTCCGGCAGGCTGATCCCGGCATTAATGCCTGCAAATTGTGCCTCGACACGCTAGCAAATTCAATACAAAATAGAAAAAAGTCTTTGGCAAGTTAAACACTCTGCCCGGGTCGATTCAGTTCCCGGGAAGTTAGTTGGGCTGCCTTTATTTTTTACAGCCGCTGCTGGAAACTTTTCTCATTAGTCACTATTTTTAGCTGCAGTTTAATTGTTACACACTCGCAGGACGAAAGTTTCCCTGCCAGAGTGCGAGTACTCAAAGTTGTTTCAATTTTTTATTCCTTCGCTGGGAATTCATCCGGACCCGGAACAGGCGGTGGAGGTGGAGGTAGAGATGGTGTTGCCTGCCATTTGAGCAAGATTTGTGTAAACAAATTAAGCGTGCTGCAAGCCGAACCATTTCTTTTCTAACCGTCGAGCAGGTGCGAAATGAATATGGTGAAGTTACGCCCAACAAAATTAAAAGTTTTCGGGCCCCAGTGGCAATTAAAGTTAATGCGTGTGTGTTGGCAGGGGCATCCCAGTAATTACACAAAACGTGTGAGCAATGCCGGTAATTCAGGCTCAAACGAGGACGCACAAAGGTTTGACATGCCGCAGCTCTGTCCTGGTTCAGGACCTTCCTTCCGCCGGTGGAGGAATCTGCCTAATGGCGACCCGGAAGACTGGTGGCCGCTCTATTTTCTGAAATTTCATACATTCGTAGGTTGCTTTGGAACCTTTGATGGAATCCCCGCCGTCCAAATGCGTCATCACATTCGTCAGCCCTCTCTTGTCGCAGACAGAGAGCTGGCTTTAATTAAGTGCACGCCTTCACTTGCGCTTGAATATTAAATCCTTTGACCTGCCCACATCCCCGCACGGAATCTCAGCGCACAACAAATTAAATGACAATTTACATTAACCCTAGACACAATGGCACATCCTTGCGGAGTCAACAGTTCCGAAGGTACTTTCATATTAAATTATATACCCAAGACGAGTCAGCAACAGAATTGCACTTAATAAATTCATCAGGTCTTGTCTCATCATTTATGCCAAATCTGCTCAGCAATAACATTGAAGTTGTCAGCAAATTAAAAGGAACTAGGGTATATGGTAATGTAATTAATTTCGATTTTAATAGGAACTTAAAATCCTTTGCTGTAGCTATGTAAATGTGAATGGCAAAGGTTGCAACTGCAGATTTTAAACTTTCTACGCCCTCTTCTCTCAATCCTTTCGCTGCCGTAAAAAATAACTAATTACGGCGACCGGATAGTAAGGGTTAATTACTAGCCATGTCTTTGACAGCTTTTTTTCGCCTCCCTTTTAACTAAGAAAACGTTTTTATTATTCCGAGCAACGTGTTTATTTTTTCAAAATAATTGGATGAAGCCTTAATGGACAAACGAAGTAAATACAAACTAAGCCAATTAAGTAGACTTACAAGCAAAAACAATAGAAAAGTATTTTTAACTATCAACTATTTTTGGGTTCACTCTTTAAACATATATAATTGAACGTATAGGAGGAGTACAGAAGACGTAGCTTTTTGATTGGCTGAGATATGTGTGTTTGTGCAGCTTTCATTCGATAATTTAAGTTGAGAATTCAGTTATTTCAGTTTTATTTGACACTATTTCCGAGGGATTTCCTTTCAGTTTAATTCAAATTGGTGTGGTTTGCAAATTTTGATGGTAAAGCATCTTAGCTTAGAGGTAACTTACAACTATAGATTTTAAGCAAGCGTGCGGCTTAAACAAACTATGACTATTTAGTTCAAAACGCTTTAAATGGCAAACATGGTAAAAAAAAATATGCATGTTAGTAGAGTAGACTTAAAGGAACAATGATTGATTTCCGAGGGGCAAACTATATATAAATAAATAGTAAAGGACTTCTTCTGGACACTGGACTCGAGCCCCGACTTATCAATTTAGGTATGTACAAATTAAGATTACTTGTATATAAACACTTCAATCCTACGATATGATACAAAACACTTAAAACTATAGCCTTACTTTTTACATAGTTTGCATAAGTTAGAGGCGGCTGGGCTTAGTTGATCCACTTCTCGCAGTGATATATTGTTGGGTTTCCTTTTTAAGGCACAGACATTATGTACACCTGACAGTGCTTAGGTCGCTAGAGAGGGATCTTTGGACAGATCTAAGTGGCCGGAGGTTTGCCATGCACACGAAACCTGTACAGGCATGTGTAGGTGGGCTGGCCGTGGTTCGTCTCAATGCGCAATTCGACGATCTCGTAGGGCCGTTTGATGTCCAGGTTCTGGACGGCAAAGTACTGAAGAGAGGCACCATTGTCCTCAAACTGATACTCGCCGAACAACACAGGTTCCTGGTCCTTCTCTTGCTCCAGCCCCTGAATAGATGCACCAATCTTATTAGATCTAAATCACTTATCTTCCTGATTATTCACACTTACCCAAACGGTGAAGTTGCGAGGAGCCGAGTCTATCCTTCCGGTCGGTGACAGACTCTTGGGTATGTGTTCGAGGGTGAATCCAGTGACGTACACCAACGAGTTAAGCTTCAGCACTGTGGGGGTGAAAATGATAAGAACTTAGTTTAGATTAAGTATTGACAGGCGACTTGCCTAGAAATCCGGGGAAGCCTTGAAACGCCCAGCACTCTCCTGGCTGCACGTTGGGTGAGATTGCCACCCGCGGCGTGTTGGTGGGATACCAGAGAGGAATACCGAACACCGATATCTGAGCCGATTTTGTTTGGTAGCTCTCCGTGCAACGCGTGGAGAGGATTTGGCCGCCTGCCGACTCCAGGGCGAAGTCCACCAGACCCGTCTTGTCGGCATCGTAAATAGCAAGCACCGTCTTGACTATCTGCCGCACCTCTTCCTCGCGAATATGACCCTTCAGCGCTTTGGTGCTCTCATTGTGCTTTGCCTCCACGACCAGCAGCATCTCCCGCTTCAGTCGCTCGCTTATGTCGGTCATCAGCAAAATGCTGGAGCGCTCGATCTCATCGCGGATGTTATTGTTTGTGCGCTTGTTTAGCTCCAGGAGCTGCTGCTCCAGGTAGTCCTTGGCCACGAACATGCTGCGCACCCAGTTCTGCAGATCGACGTCATCCAAATGGCCAGCGACACCGCCAGCGGTGGATTGTTTGAAGCCCAAAATTTCGACTAGGGAGAGCTTGATCTGCTTGTTGAGAAGAGCAAACTGCGAGTCGTTCAACGAAGAAAGTTTGCTTTCGATTTCTGCCAGCAGCCCGCTGAAGCGCCGATCCTGAGCAAGTTCGTGCTGCTTCATACGTTCCAGCAAATCCTCCTGTCCAAGCTTTAGATTGCTGATCGACTGGTGCAGATCAGCGTTCTCCGCCTGCTTATCAGAAAGGGCCAACTTAATAAAGGCGATCTCCTTGTTCAAGCGATCAATCTGGATTTCTGCGGGAGGGGAGCCGGAACTCTCCTTTTGCTCGAACCGCTGCACCTGAAGATTAATGCGGGAATCTACGAATTCGGCCAACTCGGGAGCCAGCAACACTCGTTCCAGCAGCGCCGCATGGTCGATCTTATCCAGCTGAAATGTGTAGTGCGATTCGTGAAGATGGAATTCAGATTTAATCAGTCTGGTGATCTCCTCCAAATTAGCTTGCGATAGCTTTGCTCCATCTTGCAAACCACCTGACTTTTGCAGCTCCAGTTTCAGCTTTATGGCCAGATCAGCCAAATCCTTCTCGGACAGTTCAGTTTTTTGGGCAAACTGCTGCAAGTTCTCCTTCATCAGCTGAACAATGAGTTGAACCTGCTGCGGTGGCAATTCCTTTGACTGTTGCTGGACTTTAAGCTCCACTAACTGCTGCACGTAGTTGTTGACATGGTTCAAGATATTTTCGTATTCCTCCGCTGTCAAGGCCTTCTTGATGTTCCCTTCGATGCTGGCTATATTAAGCTTGATGGTCTCGGCTTCTTCCTGTGGACCTTTGACGGCGGGTACTTCCAGCCAACTCTTCAAGGATGCTCCAGCACTGGACAAACTACTTTGCAGGGTGCCAAAAAGGGTCACTGGCAGCGGCAATAGAGCTTGAGCTCGCTGAACGTACTCAATACGTTGATCCTCCTGCAACAGCGACCATCCTGACCGAAGAGAGAACGAAACATAGCGCTATTAGTTGGCAATCCTTCTACATTTCCAGTTCCCCACAACTTCGATAATCAAACGGACTGAGGTAAGGGGGAACTTCGTCTTTTGGGGTAATTCCAACACAAATGCAGAAGGATAGAGTTTGGTTCCGGCCAACCAATATTGCATGTTTACATTTTACTTACCATTTAGATAACTACCAACAAATGGCAAATAAAACAATCTACTCTTCTTTGTACTTGATGTTTTGTATGAAATTGTTTGCGATTTATTTTTTGTATAGACTTTTACAAAGCAAACAGTGAACAAATTACAATTAAACGTTGTTTGACAACAAGTAAGATTTAGTTAGGGCATTCAGCCATACGGATAAAGACCCTAAATCTTGGACATGAGTTTGATTTACGTAAACTAATACAAGAATTCTGCAATTTGAACAGCGGTGAGCTCTATCCTTCTCCCATCAGCCTGTGATGTTGCATTTTGTTGGGAATTGTGTGGATTAGTAAGGTGGGATGTGTGGGGTGGTTGTCAATGAGAAAGGGCGAATGAGGGGACAAAAAATACTAAATATGTGGGACATTTTTGAGGTTAGCAGACGGACAAAACACGGACGAAATGCTTTAGTTTGTACTTGAATTGTTCATATTGAAAGTTTATCATATCTAATGATATGCAACAAAGTCCTATTAAAGAAACAATTGCTGAAGCAGTTCGGCCACCAAATGGTAGCCTCCCCATTCCAGGTATTCTCTACACACGCTCATAATAGACCTGATCGTCGGCCTGAAAGATCTGGCGCCCCTTGTTAACCACGTTCTGACCAATGGTTCTCAAATACAGCACATAATCATCGGCCCAGTCGCGAACGCGCACCGCTTGCTCGGCGGCCTGGGAGCGAAGCGATTCATACTGGGCCTGGTTCAGGTAGTCGCCCACGTTGATCTTGGGCAACTCAGGTAGGGTGAAAGTGTATTCGGACAGGGATTTGGGTGGGAAAGTTTCATTGGGGTGTATGTAATAGAACAGACCTGCAAAGGCAAAGCAAATTAGGCGTTGTTCCTCGGCAGATGGCGAAAGTAAAATAAAACATGTCATCACGTGGCCACTAAATAAAGATTCGGGGGATTTCACTAACAAATTACCAAAGGCGTCACGCGAATGTCGACGACCAGACGAGTGTATAAATAAACACGCTGGAGGTGATATATATGCATATAGCACGAATTTTCAAAACCGATTGAAGGTCAGGGCACACGCTTGAACATATTTTACTTTACACCGTTGTAAATCGGACGGTGCTTTGGAGGCCTACTTACCCGTCACCAGCAGCAAGGGCAGCAGAATCAGCAAAAATATGAGGAAGCGCTTTTTCGACTTGTTTTCCGCATCGGAGGATCGCAGCAACCACGTGTCCAAACTCAGAACAGATCCAATGAAGATGTATAAGTAACGCAGCAAGCTCGTGAAACCTCCTCCTATAGCCTGGGCGACTTTCCCCAGAAATCCGACCTTCTGACCCTGCTGGCGCCTAGCATAGTAGTTTTGATAGGCATTCGTCTCTGCGGCCGAAATATTGGTCACTCGTGTCCATACGGTGGTAACACTATTGACAACCAGCTGGATGAGACGAATGAGCCACCAGCTCTGCTTCTGCTGCTGCCCAAAAGTGGCGTCAACCTCATCTGCAGAGTCGTAATTGACTTGCTTATCATACTTGGACTGGTAGCGCCGGCGGATAAACTCCTCATCAGCAGGGTTCCGCTGGACCATGTAGTTGACGCGCTCGTTATGGTTTTCGAGGCTCCTCCTTGACATGTTAGGCATAGACACGATCCCTGGAGCCAGTTGACGGCGGTGGGGGGATAATTCGGAGTAGGTGTAGTCCGTCTTGGGAGTTTTACTGCAAGACAAGACGATTAGAATAGGATCTAGAATATAGAATTCGTTCACTTACTTCCAGTACTCGCCAGCATCTCTGTACTCGATATAGGCCAGGTAGTCGCTGGCATTGCCCGAGGTATTGTTGCCGTTTGATTGGTTCAGTTTCTCCTGGACGGAGTTAAGCGTGTTTTGGGTTGTCTCCAGCTGGCTTCTGTTCCGAGGTGTTGATGTGACTCCACCGGATATCTTGGTGAGGAGCGACGTTATTGTCGTGGTTGACTTATTCTTGCGTTTTGTCTCTGGAGTCATGTCGTCGCTTGAATAGTCCGAGGTCAGCTGAGAAAATGCCTTACTCCGTGTTTTCTTGCTGCTGCTCGACTCCACTATATGCTCCTCGACTATCGTTCTAAAAAGGGATGTAGATAGCAGTTGGTAAGACTTAGGGAAAGTATTTTATTGAGTAATTCCCAGATAATGTGCTCGGAATCTTTTCCAACTGCGAGTACAACGTATCAAAACAAAAATACAAAAATATGCTTTTAAACGTCGCTGACCTTCAACGATACTGGCTGTTAGCCCGCGCCAACATGCTCGATTTTGTGGCTAAACGTGAAAACGAAATTATGATGGCCAACGTTAGATTCCGAATGTCGTCATCGAGTTTGAAAGACTGATCGGACTAGACGCTCTCTTGGATTAGGCGCCAAAAGCTAACGAAGCTCGACGAGATGCCGCACCCTGTATATGGCTTTGCCTTCGTTTTCGAAATTGAAACTCGCGCCGAGCGTGAATAACAAGGAGGTGACGTCATGGCAGCAAGCACACGGCATACTAACAGTCACTATAAATATGTATTGCGTACAGTCTAGCTTTGCTAAGTAAAACGCTTTAAAGGAAAATATATTGAAATAGTGTTACTAAAGATTGTCAAAATGGCAATTGCTTCTGGGATTTTGAAGATTAAAAGCCTTTTCTATTTCAATATTATGGGTTATGGTGTTTCCGATTATAGAAGTTCGACTGTAGTTATGACGCCATTATTTAAGCTATCAACTCTGGACTGGATTGCTGAGGAATGAAATTGGGTTTGCCAAAAGCCTTTAATAACAGACCATAAATCTGACTCCCCACATCGAAACCTCTATAGATAAAACTAAATATTATTTCACACAATAAAGTATATAAATAAACTGATGTCTGCGTAACTCTAAATTCAGATTGCCAAAGAACGGGTGAGTTTTAGAGGTTCGCTTCTATTCCTATTTCGGGATCATCCCAGACACTTACTGCACATTGGGGGCCACAGACTTCTTCTTGAGGTGATGCACATGTCCCTCCTCTCCGGCATGTTCGCAGTTCTCATGATCGCAGCTCGACCTCAAGAAGGGGGTCTTGGAACGAGACCGGCGACGCGTCTCTATCTGGTAAGTATCTTCGCTCATGATTAGATTCCCTCCAAGTGCTCGGGCCCTGTGAAGAACACAAATAATTTACATGAGCAACGATTTATTTGGAGTAAACATTAAAGCCCGACTGTGTCTGTGTCTGTGAGAGTGTGTGCGTGATAGGCGTGGGTTGTTTACAATTGGGCAGCTGGAAAACATTTGTGCGCTCGACGTTACTTTTGACTTTAATGCTCGAGTGCTTTTCGGATCGAGCTTTTCTCCCAACATTAATGCCGCATTATGCAATGCGTGTGGAAATGAGCGCAATGCCCGGTTTTTAATTAGAATGCAATGAGGAGGTAAGTAGGCAGGCCATAAAGACGCCGTCTAAAAATAGGACGGAGCATTTTCGAATCGCGAATTGCTTGCCAGTGACCGTGGAACTATTGATGGACCATGTAGTCGATTCTTCGGGTTAGAATAGCCGAAAACGACGCTCGACCTTTAGAGCATAAATTCCAGGAGGTGGGGTGGGACGGTACAGGGTGCCGTGGAGTACCACGCCATTCACAAACAACTCGCGATAATCAATACAATGAATTGCCCAAAATGGGTTCGCAGCACAGGCGCAAACATTTGGTGTTTCGGTGAAATGGAAACCCAAACAAGTTTTCCGATGCTGCGTCATAACGTAGCAGGGGAAAATGAAGCACACACGCACACAAACACACTGTCAACTAGGCACTGCAAAGTGTTTCAATCATTTGGCAAGCAAATATGGCACATACTCAATAGTATTTCTGGTTCTGTTGCACTTAATGAATTTCTCCGATTTTATTAGCTGAATATGCGGTTTGTTTGCAAGAACCGCGACGGTTTAAAAATAGCCTCCGATGGCGCGACAAAAAAATCACGTCCTTTCCGAGCGGCGAAAAATTTCGAATAGATTGTGGTGGGGGGAAATCATCGATGTTATTATTTAGGATCGACTATCGATTATTTACAGTGTGAACGTATTCGTCAAGCGCTAGTACATTTTATCGATTTTTTAGTTAATCAAAAATGTGTCACTTAAAGCGGAACGGCGAAATATTCAGCACTGATAAATTTTAATTCCATTTATGTATGTAATTTAAAAGTTTTCTACAAATTTATATATAAGATGGCTTATTAACTAACTCTTAAATAGTTTAATAAACAAACAGTATAGATTTAATTAATTGTAGTTCTTTTCCATTACAACATTATTCCAGCATTAAAAATAATATATATTTTTCGGACTCAAAAATCATAAAATAAAAGTAATCAGACTCTAATGTTACTTCATTACGTAAAATATAATATTTCTGTTTCAGAAATTTTTGCAATAAATCTAAATAAATAATTTATTTCAATTGACTTTTAAGAATGACTTAGTTGACCCGCAATTTTATCGATAAAACAACAATCAGAACTTTAGCAGTGACACAATCCATCACTTATAGATAGTTGATAACTCTAAACCAAAAATACCACAACAAACCAAGAGGGTTTCTTGTTGTGAATTTATTCCAGAAAAATAAGATATGATAGAAATAACTTGTAACGATCGCCTCGGCAAAAAGGTACGGCCATATCCTAGAGTATTATACATACATGTATATGTAATGCAATGTTTATTACGCAGGTGCGCGTCAAGTGCAATCCTGACGACACAATCGGCGACCTCAAGAAGCTCATTGCGGCACAAACGGGCACAAAGCATGAGAAGATTGTCCTAAAGAAGTGGTACACAATCTATAAGGATCCCATCCGGCTATCCGACTGTAAGCACAAGATTAATTAACTATACCAACCTCGCTACAAATTAAAATTCCCACTTTCTCAGATGAAATCCACGATGGCATGAATCTGGAACTCTACTACCAATAAATCTGCAAAGGGATGGTTCCTGTATCGTGGTTGTCCGATTTTTATAGCATCTTTGATAAATAAACAAATTTTAAATAAATAATGTAAATCCATTTCTTCATAATTCTTAAGGGAGTGTGCAAATGGAGTAGAAGATGTTTTATTGCTACAATTAATTAAAGCCCAAGTTATCTGTTGGGTCTTTTATATACGAATTGGCTTAAAAAGTAAACCAATAAAACAAATATAAATTTCTTTTATTAACCCCCTTAGAATACGCCCCTGTTGCGTTTGGTATTATTTTCCCGTATAATTTGGCGTTGCCAGATCGTAGCTAAGGCGTCCGGAGGAATAACAAATATTGTAGAAGGCATATTCAAGATTCGCCGAAATGTCTATGATTCCATTCTTTCCCACCCTCAAAGTCTCCGTGGCAAATCGCTACTGGTTGGACATGGCTCCTGCTTCTGTAAACGAAGAGTCCCAGACGCGGCGCTACGAGGAAGATCGCAGCAACTTTGTAAGCATTTCAGGACCCCAATACCTGTACATTTTTCATTAACTTTACTATCCGTGCAGCGTGAGTCGCTCAAAACAGCCTGCACAGATCTGCAGCCATTGGGTAAGATGCTCACCATACCTGGAATAGAAACCGACGACGAGGATGGTGAGTATACCCAACATTTGCTTAAAACTTTTAACCACCAAATCGTTAATCTGCAGCCAACGACGACAGCGAGGACACGGACAGTCATGACGAGGAAGATGATGAGACGAACGACCGCGTCATTCCAGTCACACAGGACTTTTACTCCGCCGACGATATCCAGATGAACGACGAGACATCTCCCACAGCTCCATGAATGGTTACTAAGCGGATCGCCAACCTTTTAATTGGGATTATAACATTTACTAGGATGTAGATGTGAATTAGAATGTTCTTCGGCTGGTGGATACACAATTATTTATTTTCGCGTTTTGTTCCCTTTACAAACCGTAATAACAAGTGTCGGATACTTTAGGCTTAAATAAATTAAAACATAGTAAGCAAGGTGTCTGGAGAAGTCTCCACTACAGATTTTCGGAGGCTTGGCTCACTGGTTAAGGACATAAGGGGCGAACTGGGATTTCAGGGGCCCTACTTGTGGAGCGCCGCCGTCTCCAGCTTCGGAGCTGGCTTGGAGGCCAAGCCCGAGAGCAGCTTCTTGATCTCGGCGATGGCCCGGCCGGGGTTAAGGCCCTTGGGGCAGGTCCGTGTGCAGTTCATGATCGTGTGGCACCGGTAGACGCTGAAAGGGTCCTTTAACTTGCTCAGACGCTCGGCGGAGTTCTCATCACGCGAGTCGATGATCCACCGGTAGGCCTGCATCAGCACGGCGGGGCCCAGGTACTTCTCGGCATTCCACCAGTACGAGGGGCACGAGGTGGAGCAGCAGGCGCACAAGATGCACTCGTACAGGCCATCCAACTTGGAACGGTCCTCAACAGACTGCAGGTACTGTGCCTTGCCCTTCTGCTCGACAGCCTCGTTCCTGGTGATGGTGTGGGATTAGTGATTTTCCAGGTTGAAAGGATTAATTTAACTCACTTGCGCTGCAGCCAGGGCTGGATGTTGCGGTACTGCTCGTAGAAGTTGTTCATGTCCGGAACCAAATCACGAACCACATACATGTGGGGCAAAGGATACACCTTCAGAGATTTGGAGGTGTTGATGTCGATCTTGCTGATGCAAGCCAGCGTGTTGGTACCGCCAATGTTCATGGCGCACGAACCACAGATGCCCTCGCGGCAGGAACGACGGAAGGTAAGTGTGGGATCCATCTCGTTTTTAATCTTGATCAGGGCATCCAACACCATGGGTCCGCATTCGCGCAGGTCCACCTCGTAGGTCTGCATGTAGGGCTTCTCGCCGGCGTTGTCTGGGTTCCAGCGGTAGATTTCGAACTTCTTGATCTGCGGCTCCTGGGCCTCCTTGGGTTGCGCTTGCTGATCCAGCTGGGCGGTGCCATTGCTGATGGATCGCAGCTGGAAAATGTGAAGATCGGAAAATTACGTTATAACCATTTTCATCCAACCGCTTAAAAAGGTTTACATAACAGCTAATGCCAGTTGGCAATTCCCCGAAATTACGACGCTTCAGATTGCATGTTTATCGCGATTCTATATTCTATTCTATAACTCCCTGATCCCAAATTTCCACCTTATATAACTGCACAGGCCAAAAAGCTGCCTGCGCCCCCGCCCATGCAATGTTGGCCAAAAAGCCATGGACCATCTCGTTCTCGTCTCACCTGGTTCCTTCCCACCAGAGATCCAACGCGGCTTAGGATTTGTCTCGCCTCACTCGCCAACATTTTCGACGCTGTTTCTGCTGCAATTGAAACGGCACTGCGTTTGCAATTATCGATTTGCTAAGAGCAAATTGGATGTTTTTCTTATTTGCGTACAAAAAGTTGCACGAACTGAAAGTGCGGTGTGCCCGTGGCAGAACCAAGTGTTATGGAAACACACTAAAATATACCTCACGAAAATGAACGGGCACTGGTCCCACTAATAGGAACGTATTTTATTTTTGAATATAAATTTGAAATATCTGACCCTACCCAATACCAATATGGTATAAAAAAAAAGTTTACGATGGAAGCATGGGTAAATTTTTGCGCAAAATGAGTAATATGGGGTCAAACGTACAAAACAATTTTTTATTGTTCTGTACTTACACAGAAAAGAAACTATAATTTTAAATATTGTATTAAAAGTTCTAATTCACATTAGATAGTTTGTAAATTAAAAACTCAGTAAAGTAATAAAAAAAAACGAAATATAAATATGTATTAATTATTAAATGCATTATAGGAAATTTTGCCACTTTTCCTGACCAAAAACCATTTTTTGAAGATAAAAAAATAAAAAAAAATAACTGAATTGCATTTACATTAGATAAATTTTAAGTTTTCCATAACAGAAATTTTAATAGATGGCGCCACTGCGAAGAAATCAGCTGATGAAAACAATTGTTGCTGTTTATCATTAGAAGCTGTGCCCATATTAGGATTTAGAGCAGTTTTTAAATCGTAAATTAAATGTAAAATATTATAGAATATAATTTTAAAATTTTGGTTGCGTTTTTATCAGTGCGGCTTGTAATATTTTTTTGTATGTCAACTGTTGGAAAAACTCGTGCTTTTTTAATAATAGGGTGAAAATGTAAATAGTCTAAGAAACGTAATTTAAGATTTAAATCTCATTTTTAAAAAGACATTAAAAGTGAAATAAAGTCTATGTTTTAGAGTATTTAATTCTTATTCGAATGAATGTAACTTTGCGTTTTATATAAAAGTCGGTGCCATTTTGCTTAGTTTTTGAGGTAATATCTGATTTTGAGGTTGTGGGCCATTGGGCCTATTGACCATATAAACTCAAATCAAAAAACAAAATCTAAATATCTTGCTTAGTTTTTATAGTTTTTTCACAAAATTTTTATTAACTTATCTAAATGTAAATTATTTATTTTCTAATCTTTAATAGAAGCAGAATTAATAACAGTTTCAAACATTTTGACCAAAAATTTGTTAATTGGTGATATTTTATATTTTAATTAAGAAATTTTCTCCGCTTCTCTACTTGCAAGAAAATAAAAAATTCCACATTTAAATAAAATTATTACAAAATCTCTTTGGATATTTGGTTAAAATATTTTTTATTTTTTTAGTTATTAATACTAATGTTTGGCACATACGGAATGGGAAATTCATGTTCAGAAATAGAAAAAGTTTCAGGGGTCTAGTAGTTCTCAGTGGTGCGCACGTAGTTCACTCCAGATGGCATGGATACCTTGTCGAATCCCTTGGGGAATAGCTTGTGGGCTTCTTCATCGGTGACAGTGGGCAGGATCATTACCTTGGTGCCAGGCTATAATTACGAACAAGTAGTAAGAATTCAATAGGATTTATTTATCAGAAATACTTACAGTCCAGTTAGCAGGAGTGGCCACCACCTTGAGACGATCAGTCAGCTGCAAAGAGTCGATGGTCCTCAGGATCTCACTGAAAGATCACCGAACCATTAGTTGGGATTATCATAAGATAAATCTTTATAGAGATACTCACTCGACATTGCGACCAGTGGACATGGGGTAGAACATGGATAGGCGGACCTTGTGATCTGGGCTGATGATGAACAAAGCTCGGATGGTCTTACCCACCTCGGGGTCCTTCTTCTGCTCTTCGTCGAGCATACCCAGACTGACGGCCAGGTCCCGAGTGGGGTCAGCGATGATCGGGTAGGGGAAGTCCCCGGGAATGTCCAGGCAGTAGCTCTTGATGTCATTCACCCAGTCGACGTGCGAGTTGAGTGCGTCCACGGAGTGCGCCAGGCACTTGGTGTTCCGCTTGGCAAACTCCGGCTGGTGCACCGCGATTCTGCCCAGTTCGGTTGTGCAAACGGGAGTGAAGTCGGCGGGGTGAGAGAAGAGCACCACCCACCTGGGGATCAGAGGGAGAACTAGATGAGTATCGGATGAAAAAAGTAACCCAAATGGAACTTACGAATTGCCCTGCCACTCGTGGAAGCTGATTGGCCCCTTGGTGGTGTCGGCCTTGAAGTTAGGTACGGTCTGTCCCAAACGCATCTTGATTGTATTAGTTAGCTTAACACTTTGATAAAACTGGTTAGTTGCTCAGCTGTTTGCTGTTGGCTGTTTGTAGCTCGCTCACTTGTTGCTTACTGAATACTGACTGCGAGAGCTGGCTGCCTTTTATACCCAGCTGGATCGGATCGTTCTGAGGGAGCAATAAAGACAGAGAATGGGCACTACCTTATCGGGAATGTTCATATACAATATACAAATGTATGTACATATAGTATGTGGATCGATTAACAAATAAGGTCTCCATATTTGTTTGTGACTAGACTGGGGCCTCTGAAAAACCTGATGGAGGCCTCGCCCATCTTTGGACTTTGTGATGAAATAATTCTAGAAAAATACAGTTTTGCTTGTTTCCCTTTTAAATTTAATTAATTAGTCCTAAATAGCGAATTCCTTCAGGATTTGACTCCCAAACAGCTGATAGCTTTACCGGCTCCAAACATAAACAGAGAGTCAGAGAGCATTTAAATGTTTGATGGTGTTGGTTGTCAGTGGAGAATTACAAACACAAGCGAAGGTACGAGCACACCAATTGACGAAGAGTGAAGTGGTATTTGTGAGTGCCTGTAAAAAACCACATACTAGTAAAGGTCGCCCGGCTCTCCCGTTCACGTATACAAAACGAGCCTCCATTTGAGAGGGAAGAGCGAATGAATTTGTGTGCCTGTGTGGGTGATTCTATGGGAAATTCACACACCAATGCAGATTTTCTCTCAGTTGGTCACATGAATAGATCAATTGGGTTTGGGAAAATGGACGGGCTGATCGCAATTTCAGAGTGGAGAAGACAGTTCTCAGGAAAGGTTCCACCTTGGATTCAAATTAGAATAATGGAATATCTGATAATAATAATGAATACAATATCATGATACAATGTGCAACGTGTGATAAGGTCATTTGAAGTACAATTCGTGAAGTAACTAACAGTGGAAATTAGTCTACAGTTTTTCAAGTGTTAAAAGTACAGTCTGTGCATTTCGTCGGTTACAAAGTGAAATTCAAGACGCAAAACCGTTTTCTACTATACACATTTTGTGGTAATTTTCCATTCCTCGTCGCTTATCGTGTCCTCAGATGTTTGTAAACAACAAACTCAAATGTGTAGTCAAGCGGGGTGTAAGATTGTGTTGGTGTGGGAGAGAAGACAACCTTGCGCAAATGAACCGGTTTCTTGCTAAAAAGAGTGAGTGAAAGGGAAAAGTAAAGAGAGACATGGAGAGTGATTACATAGAGCGAACCGGGTCTGATCGTCTGCTAAATTATCGATATAATGAATACAAATCGTATTCAAACATTTAGGCGCCCTCTTTCTAATAGTTCATTATTCATAGTTTTTGTAAATAAAAATATGATTATTTAGTTTAATATTCAAAAGGCGATATTTTTTTAATAACCCTCTAACAGCTAGTCTTAAGCTATTAAGTATCAACAATTTTTAGACACTGGAGATCATTTCTTATGTTTAATCAGCTTAGTCCGTTCACCAACATAAGGCACAAAAAGTTTTATTTTTTTTCGGTGTATATTTATTATAGGCCTTAGAATCTAGCAATAACTAAAATGGTATACAAATTCCTTATCCATATCAGCGTACCAAAACGTACGATAACCACAATCTTGAATTTCATTCAAAAAATTCGCCCACAGTGGTAAAAACTGTTACTTGGCCAGTCTACCTTTTGCCAAGATCTGATAGATACCCAGTACAGCGGAAAGGGTTCCAATAAATCCCGATTGAAATGTTGAGAGCTTTCCAGACCACAGGTAACCAATGGGCAGAATGCTGATGGCGTGAACCAGTTCAAGGGAGATGCGAGCTAAGGTCACCACATCCTGCCGGTTTAGGTTGCCACGATTAAGCGAGAAAGACCTCAATGTTCTTACAAGATTTAGGTACACAGAGATCACACAGACTATAGTCTTCACATATCTCCATGTGTCCTTGTTTCGTACATCAAAAACCTTATGCTCGGCCAGCCAGCAAATGGTTTCGATGGGATAAAAGATGACATCCACCACGTTGGACATCACACCCAGTAAGGCTGTCATACGATCAGGTTCACATTCACCCAAACCGTAATTCAGAGTATATTGAAACACTGGAAGATCATCGATGAGGCGCAGAGTGGCTTTGGCTCCTGCAATCTTTGAGCTAACGGTGGCACATCTTTGGGACAAAACTGGATTCTTGTTGGCATGGTATCCCGCCACCAACTTGGTACTTTGACACAATGCCTCCATCAACAGCTCTCGACCGCCATAAGAATCAATGAGACCACAGATCTCGCTTATGAATTTAGCCATAGCTACTTGATTTTAAAAAAATTTTGTAGAGCTCTATATTAAGTAGAAACTTCAAATGAAATGCAGCGACGGTAGCAGAATATATAGCCAAAGTCTCGACCGATGTCGATAACACTACATTTCAAAGGCGATTGCATTGAGTTCTCGTTGGGGTATCGCTGATCTAACCCGGTTCGCTCTCGGCTTCCCACTCTTTATACTCCCCCTCTCTGTCTCTCTGCCAAATACCTTGCGCGTGTTTCCTCCCTCTCGCACCAACTTAATCTTCCTTTCCGCTCAACTGCATCATACTGTTTTGTTATTGTCAAACAACCCAGAAACCGATGGAAAATTTCCACAAAATGTGTATAATAAACTGATACATATTTTCGTATTGGACTTCATTTTGTGAGATTACAAAGAATTTCCTAATGCCCAGACTGTACTTGTAAAATCCATTATTTTCCAAGGGAAATCGTGTACATGAGGTTTTCACACTTAATGAATTACTTAAAATCTCTTCATATCCAATATATCAAGAAGATATTCCATTACCATGTCCATATTCCTAGTTGGACTCCTTTCTCATCCACTGCATTTCGGCTTCTGAGTTAGTGATTTGCCCATTTGAATTCCCAAACCCACTCGGTCTATCCATGAGACCCAATGAGAGGAAAACTGCACTAGTGTGCAGTTTCCTCGAACAATCACTCACACAGTCTCACAAATTCATTCGCTCTTCTCTCTTGGAGGCTCGTGTTGTGTATGTGAACGAGAGAGCTGAGCTATCTAAAGTAGTATGCGTTTTCTAGAGGTACTAACAAATACCACAACACTTTTGGCTGCTCTCTCGTTCTCTTGATACTGATCAGCTGTTGGATCAGCTGTTTGGAGGATAGCTCCAAAATGAACCGTAAGCTTCGGCTTAATTAAAAAAGGAAGATATATAAGGGAAATAATATAAAATGGAACTGTACTTTTCTAGAAGTAAACTTCTAGAATTTCATCACAAAGTCTAGAATGGCACGAGGTTACCTACATGGAAACATTTAAAAATAGAGGCATCACAGCATGGAGGTCGGATAGCTATATGTATATGTATGTACTTACATATATATATGTGTACCTTATACTCATGGCGATAAGACAACGCTCAATCTCTGTCTCTATCCCTCTCCCTGATCTCCTCACGTCAAGTGGGTATAAAAGGCAGCCAGCTATCTCATTTGGTATTCAGTTAGCAAAAAGTGAGCAAACTTACATCAGCAAACATAAAAAAGTTTTATCCAAGCCAAACAAATTTTCACCTGCATCGAAATGAGTTCCAATTCTCTGTTCGAAACCGAGGAAGATGTCGCTCAGGCCAACAAGCTGTCCAGAAAAGTCAAGGAATCCCCATTTATGCTAGTGGGTATTGCCGGATTCGTGGCCGCCGGTTTGGTTGGAGCCTACAAATATCGACATCGTGGAACCATGAGCACCAGTGTCTTCCTGATGCAGCTGCGTGTGGCCGCCCAGGGAACCGTCGTCGGGTGTTTGACCGCCGGACTGGCCTATACCATGGCGAAGGAATACCTGCTCCACGAAGATACTAAAAGCAATACTAAGCCAGTCGACTAAGAAAATATCAGTCCTGCCTATTTATAATGAGATCATAAAATACCAAACTAGCAAAAGCATTTTTGGGTGAACCGCAAGAACACCACCAAAAAGTATTAGCCACATGGTTCTTCCTCCACCACATCCTTGTGTAATTAAGTTTTAGGTTTACGCAATAAAGTTCGATTTTACCAAAAAAAACTCACTGAAATGCATTTCTTACTGTGTTTTTTTAATTACTTTCTTTTCACACACACATATTAAATAAATCAGACATCTAGGTTATGATTTTTCTTTAAATAAGTTGTTACATCAAAAAATGATGCTAATTCTATAGGTACTACTAATAATAGTTTTTGAAAAAAATAATTATACCATTTACGGGTGTATAATTTTATATTTTTTTTTACATTCTCATTGGAAGCCGATATTATCGTCACGAAATATTTTAGGTAAAAAGTTAACAGACAGATCGTTTTTTCACAAAATTATTTATTAACTTATCTAAATGTAAATTTTCTAATCTTTAAGATAAGCAGATGTAATAACAATTTTAAACATTTTGACCAAAAATTTGTTAATTGGTGATATTTTATATTTGAATTAAGAAATTTTCTCAGCTGTTCTACTTGCAAGAAAATTAAAAATTCCACATTACAAAATTATTATTACAAAATGTCTTAGGATATTTGGTTAAAATATTTTTTATTTTTTAGTTATTTATACTAATATATGGCACATACAGAATGGGGAATTCAAGTTCAGAAAGAGAAAAAGTTTCAGGGTCTAGTAGTTCTCAGTGGTGCGCACGTAGTTCACTCCAGATGGCATGGATACCTTGTCGAATCCCTTGGGGAACAGCTTGTGGGCTTCTTCATCGGTGACAGTGGGCAGGATCATTACCTTGGTGCCAGGCTATAATTACGAACAATTAGTAAGAATTCAGTAGGATTTAGTTAGCAGAAATACTTACAGTCCAGTTAGCAGGAGTGGCCACCACCTTGAGACGATCAGTAAGCTGCAGAGAGTCGATGGTCCTCAAGATCTCACTGAAAGATCACAGAACCATTAGTTGGGATTATCATAAGATATATCTTTATAGAGATACTTACTCGACATTGCGACCAGTGGACATGGGGTAGAACATGGATAGGCGGACCTTGTGATCTGGGCTGATGATGAACAAAGCTCGGATGGTCTTACCCACCTCGGGGTCCTTCTTCTGCTCTTCGTCGAGCATGCCCAGACTGACGGCCAGGTCCCGAGTGGGGTCAGCGATGATCGGATAGGGGAAGTCCCCGGGAATGTCCAGGCAGTAGCTCTTGATGTCATTCACCCAGTCGACGTGCGAGTTGAGTGCGTCCACGGAGTGCGCCAGGCACTTGGTGTTCCGCTTGGCAAACTCCGGCTGGTGCACCGCGATTCTGCCCAGTTCGGTTGTGCAAACGGGAGTGAAGTCGGCGGGGTGAGAGAAGAGCACCACCCACCTGGGGATCAGAGGGAGAACTAGATGAGTATCGGATGAAAAAAGTAACCCAAATGGAACTTACGAATTGCCCTGCCACTCGTGGAAGCTGATTGGCCCCTTGGTGGTGTCGGCCTTGAAGTTAGGTACGGTCTGTCCCAAACGCATCTTGATTTGCTTGTATTAGTTAGCTTAACACTTTGATAAAACTGGTTAGTTGCTCAGCTGTTGGCTGTTTGTAGCTCGCTCACTTGTTGCTTACTGAATACTGACTGCGAGAGCTGGCTGCCTTTTATACCCAGCTGGATCGGATCGACCGGCGGAGCGATAGAGACAGAGAACGGGCACTACCTTATCGGTAGTGTTTATATATGTACAAATGTATATACATATAGTAAGTGGATAGATTAACAAATAAGGTCTCCATATTTGTTTGTGACTAGACTGGGGCCTCTGAAAAACCTGATGGAGGCCTCGCCCATCTTTGGACTTTGTGATGAAATTCTTCTAGAAAAATACAGTTTTGCTTGTTTCCCTTTTAAATTTAATTAATTAGTCCTAAATAGCGAATTCCTTCAGGATTTGACTCCCAAACAGCTGGTCCCCTCCAGCTGATAGCTTTACCGGCTCCAAACATAAACAGAGAGTCAAAGAGCATTTAAATGTTTAATGGTGTTGGTTGTCAGTGGAGAATTACAAACACAAACGAAGGTACGAGCACACCAATTGGTGGATATCGTGACCGAGAGAGCGACGAACAGTGAAGTGGTATTTGTGAGCGCCTGTAAAAAAACACATACTAGTAAGGGTCGCGCGACTCTCCCGTTCACGTATATAAAACGAGCCTCCAACTGGGAGAGAAGAGCGAATGAATTCGTGAGAATGTGTAGGTGGCTCTACGGGAAATTCACACACCAATGCCGATTTTCTCTCTGGTGGTCACACGAATATATAGAGTGAGCTTCGAAAGTTGGTTGTACTGATAGGTATCTCAGAATGGAAAAGACAGTTGAAAGGGAAGGTTCCCAACGTGGAATCAGATCAGTATTATGGAATATTAGATGATAGCAATGGATAAAAATATGGGATGTATAAATTTCGAGATGGTCTATTTAAGGCGGTTAGAGCCGTCAATTTGATTTTACAATGTCAATTCGCTTATAGTTTCTATTATCTTAAAGGTACAGTTTATGCATCTGTGAAAAAATCTTGGTTAGTTGCAAAGTAAATAGAATATGCATAGCGTTTCTGTTATACTATACACATTTTGCGGTAATTTTCCATTTGCTGTTGGTTATCATTTTCAATAGTTGTTTTTGTTTACAAAATGGTTTTCATAGTCAAACGGATCTCATGATTCGTTTGGTGTGTGGTGCGTGGCAAATGGAGAGGAATCAAGAGAGTGGAAAAACAAGCATTCGAAAGAGAGCGAACCGGGTTTTTAACTTCCGATAGACCTTCTGATCATCGAACATGTAATCGACCATTATTATTAAGACATCTTTAAATTTTTTAATTTATTTATTTAAACCTGTAAACAAAGACCAGGATATTTAAATAAAATAAATAAAACATTTCCCAAATTGATTGAAAATCATTAAAAATTTCGTAACAAAAGCCAAATTTTAAAAGTAACAATTTTACTTATCTAAGATTTAAAAACAACCGCCGAAAATGCCAGAAAATACTAAAATCTTTAAACGCAGTAAGAAATGTACATCACAGATACGTTGGCAGCGCTTAAAGCCCCATTTGGCAGTTTTTATTCAAATATATAGTTTATCAGATATAAAATGAAAGAATATAAAAATATAATGACCATAAAAGCATAAAAAAGTTTCAGAAGCTTAAAAGTTTAATACTAAATTTCGTTAATTTTGTTAATATTTGTTTATATATATTATTTATATATATTTATTGAAAAACGCATAGAGCTAATATATGCTTATCAATTTTTGATTTTTGGCGGCTGGATAGAAATATCGATAAGAATATTAGAAGGTGGCAAGGTAATCATCGATATTGGCAAATTTCTGACCATCATCGATACTAGCAAATAAACATCGATTTGTGTTCCAGCTCTATAGCATAAAAAATTCGTAGATTTAACAGCGCATAGCAACTGCTCGAAGGTAAATATACGAAAAAATCAACCGTAGATTCGTTCAGCAGCATCGAACGCCAGCAAAATCGAATTCATCAGCTAAAATAAAACACCAACAAAGATCATTTGCCCCAGCTAAAAAAAAACTGATAATTTTCTTCTCTGTGCGTGTGTGAGCTGCAATTGTGTGAGTGCGTGCTGCATGCATATATGCGTGTGTGTGAGCGCGAGAGAGAGTGTGCTGTTAAGGTGTGCGGATGTGTGTGTGTGGACAGTGACTCGTTGGTTAGAAGGGAAAACAAAGAAAACTTCAGAAAAGAACGACGTAAAAAGGCATTTACAAATGCAAAATAATCAAAACCAATTTGCTAGCAATGTTAAAGAGTGCAAAAAGCATTAGGTAAATTCATTTGGTTATTGATTTTTTGCATTTTTGTGCATGCAGTTTTGTAGTTGTAGTTGTTGTTGTTATTGTGTTTTTTTTTGTTGGTGCTGCAGCTGCGCGTCGCAACTGTAAACTGATGTTGCTGTTGTTGTTGTTTGTATTTTGGGTCAGTGAGCGATAGAGAATGCAAGATTTAGAGAGAGAAAGAGGTGGACCGAGTAACGGACAAAGGACATTGCATTTTGGAGGTTGTTGTTTGTGTTAGCTACTCCCCTTCCACCCCCGTCCCCATCACGTATACACACAGCATCTGCATCTGCATTTCATTTGCTCTCTCTCTATCTCTCTCACTCGTTGCTGGCTCACTCTCTCTAATCCCTCGCTGACTGTGTCTCTCTCTCAGCCTCCTTTTGCAACCACAACAAGATAAACAACAACAGTAGCAACAATAACGTCAGCCATAACATGGAGAACGTCGATGAGGCCCCACCACTCTCTTCGGAGAGCAACAGCAATAGCAACAACAGCAGCGCCAGCAGCAGCTCTCACCAGCTCTCTCAATCGGGAGCGGGTCCCATGGGCGCCGAAATCGCCCCCACTTCGTCTCAGTCACTGTCTCGTTCACACTCTCATTCGCCCTCGCCATCCCCCTCTCAATCCAATCCCGATCACCCGAATCCCCCATTAAATGCATTTGAAATGGAGGCTAGAGAGAATTCATCGCATGATCACTCACCCACTCCTACTTTCCACCAGACTGCACCGCCACCCACGACTCCATCGACGGCACCGCAGCAAGAAGAGCGGGAGCAGCCAGAGCAGCAATATCCGGCCTTGCACGACCAAGATCAGCAGCCACAGCCGCAGGATCAGCAGGAAATTTCGACTTTGCAGGACCAAGAGTCACATCCACTGCAGGATCAGCAACATAATCAAAATCCACCCCAAGATCAGCAATTACAAGCATTGCAGGATCAACATCAAGCGCAAAATCGGGAATTGCAACATATAGAGGGACTAATACGTCACCCGGAGTTGCCAAACCCAGAAGTATCGCTGGAAAATCAACAGCAACCAGGACAAGGCGACACCGACGAACAGCCGGATGAGGCACAAGTTCGAGAGCCCGAAGTCCAAGCAGAAGCCGAACCACCACCACCGCTGCTTCTTGAAGATTTGGACGAGCAGGACTCCGAGTCGCAAGAACTGAACGAACACCAGCCGGCAGTGATCATAGACGCCAACGCCATAGCCGAAACTATAGACGCCAACGCCGTGGAGCGCATCGACGACTACGAAGACGACGACGAGGAGGTGGATGAAGAGGAGGAGGTAGTGGACGACCGGGTCGATAGAGCCGGTGAGGTCGCATCCGTTTCCGGAGCCCAGCGGCTGCACTCGGTTGCCGTTTTGCCGCGCTACTCCTCAGCTTCACGTGTACCACGAAGCAGCAGCAGTAGCAACAACAATAATAATAACAACAATAATAATAGCAATCATAATAATAACAATAACAGCAGCAGCAGCGGTCTATCGCGACGAACTCGCCATTTTTATAGCAACAACGGCAGTCACTTCAGCAACGACATGTTCCCCAGCCACGCCCCCCGCAGCAGCACCCAGACATCATCGCCCCGGGTCGGAGGTCGTCGCCATCACTCGACCACGGCTGCCACCTCGAACTCTCCACAGCACCAGGGCGTGGATCCCTTAAGGTTGCTCTATCCCAATGTCAACGAAAGCGAAACACCGCTGCCCAGGTGCTGGAGCCCACATGACAAGTGCTTGTCCATTGGATTGTCACAGAACAACCTAAGGGTCACCTACAAGGGTGAGTCGTATCTGAAGTTGAAATCCTTTATCTATACATATATATAGATCTATATAATTATAGAATACAAAAAATCCAAAATCATGACTTAGTTTTACATAGGATTTTTGGTACATTATTACTTAAAGTAGAAATACCTTTAGGATCTTAAGAATCGCTCTATAACCCAGTAAAAATCTCCCCGTGTATCAGTTATTATATTTCCTTTGTACTTCATTTCTCAAATATCTAATATTAATCTTTAAAGATGTAACACAAAATATTAGGAAAAAAAATTAAGAGCTCTTAAGGTGCATCTGCAGTTTCTATGCTCTCCCGCTCTCTCTGACTCACTTACACATACACGCTCAGATGCTCTCAGCTGTGTGCTGGTGGTTTTGTTTTTCACTACACTTCTCCCACGCTTATTCGCGTGGCTGTTAAACCGTTAACAGCAACAGCTGGTCCAAACAGTGTAAAATAACGTGTTAAGTGCATGTAAATGTTGTAGATGTTGTGTAAAATGGTTAATGTAAAAAGGAAAGGAGAATTATTTTAAAATTAAAAACACAAGAAAGTAAATAAACGTTGATGATGGAAGTATATATACTGCGATGATTATTAGCAACTTAATGAACAAAATTCGTTTTTCTTGTAAATATTGACACTTCCCCATATTACAGGAGTGGGTAAACAGCATAGTGATGCCGCCTCCGTGCGCACTGCCTATCCGATACCGTCCTCCTGCGGTCTCTACTACTTCGAGGTGCGGATTATCTCCAAGGGACGCAATGGCTACATGGGCATCGGTCTGACCGCTCAGCAGTTCCGGATGAACCGTCTGCCAGGTTTGTGTTGCATTGTGCTGCTCGGCGAGATTTCCTGTTGATTCCTAATGACCGCACCCCTCTTCAAGTAGGTTGGGACAAGCAGTCATACGGTTACCATGGCGACGATGGTAACTCATTCAGCTCCTCTGGAAATGGCCAGACCTATGGGCCCACCTTTACCACCGGCGATGTGATTGGATGCTGCGTGAACTTTGTGAACAACACTTGCTTCTACACCAAGAACGGAGTGGATTTGGGCATCGCATTTAGGGATTTACCGGTGAATATTTGATGAATTTTATATCCTACTTTATTTTCTAACTTTTTGTTCTTTAATTATCTAGACCAAGCTATATCCGACTGTGGGACTACAGACTCCCGGCGAGGAAGTAGATGCTAACTTTGGTCAGGAACCATTTAAGTTCGACAAGATCGTCGATATGATGAAGGAGATGCGCTCAAATGTGCTGCGCAAGATTGACAGATATCCACATCTCCTGGAAACTCCAGAGAATCTGATGAATCGGTGGGTTTAGTTAAATACACTGTTTTTAAGAGCAAACTTATAACTCTTCCATATTTTTCCAGTCTGGTTTCCACCTATCTGGTGCATAATGCCTTTAGCAAGACCGCCGAGGCCTTCAATGGCTATACAAACCAGAGTTTCGACGAAGACTTGGCATCCATCAAGATACGACAAAGTTCGTATAAATTTCTCTATTCTTAGATTAATCAAATAAATTAACAATCCTTTATCCTTTCAGAGATCATAAAGCTCATTCTGACAGGCAAAATGAGCCAAGCTATCGAGCACACATTACGTTCTTTTCCCGGACTTCTGGAAAACAATAAGAACCTCTGGTTCGCCCTGAAGTGCCGCCAATTTATTGAAATGATCAATGGAGCAGACATTGAGGTGGGTTTTCCAATACTTTATGTAGGAAAAGCATTTTATCCTGGGTGTTTTTATTAGAATGTCAACAACAAAGTAACCGCCACTACACAGACCATGCCCACAAACCAGACGTCCGTGATACAGTCCACCAAGGCGTTCAAGCACAGCAAGAGCGGCAATGGCAATGGCAACGTCAACATTAATCAGACTCAACAACAACAGAACAACACTGCGATTCCAGCTGTGATAAAGCCACAAGGCGGCGGCGATAAGCCAGAAATCAAAAAGTAAGTAAATTATATGGTTTTAGAGTTCATACTTTTGATGATGCTTAACCACAACATATTTTTCCAGCATGATGGTTGATGACAACTCCAACAAGTGCGTGGAGCACGATAGCAACAGCATGGACGTGGAAATGGAGCCCTGCCAGAGTCACTCCAACGGCGGCGATTCCTGTTCTAATGGCAATGCCAGCGCTGTGCGCAACTCTCTAGATGCCATCGACGAGGAAATGGGTAAATATCTATTGATTAAGCTTCCTGAAAGATCCGTAATCCCCAGCACTTTCAGATGTAGATGTTTCACCCTCTTCGCGCAGCTGTGGCCGTGTGATCGAGAAGATCCTTGAGTTTGGCAAGGAACTGTCCAGTATGGGCCAGCAGCTCGAGAAGGAGAACCTCATGACTGAAGAGGAGCGTCAAATGTTGGAGGTATACTCTGAATATAGATATAAAAGATAAAAAGATTATTATTTTAATTATACTTGCAGGATGCATTTAGCTTGATTGCTTACTCAAATCCCTGGTCCAGTCCGCTGGGCTGGCTTTTGTGTCCCTCGCGACGTGAGAACGTTTCCACCACACTCAATTCGGCCATATTGGGTGAGTATTTGGACTGTACTCCTGCATCAAATAGTAGACTCTAATAAAAATATTTATTACAGAGTCACTGAACTGCGAGCGCCGTCCGCCGCTGGAGTATCTGGTGGCTCACGCCTCCGAGCTGATCAAGGTGATTGGACAGCACTCGCTGGGCGAGGACGCTTTCATTACAATCGACGATGTGTTCCCGCAAAATTGACCCAGTTCGCCGACGCTGCTGAAGATGTTCGAGACCACGCTGACCCTGCCGCGAACCAGTGTGCTCACGGAACCGTTGGGCAGCGCCGGAACCGGAACTGGGCCCTCCACATCGACGGCAGCTGTGGCCGTACAGACGAGCAAACGTCGCCGACGGCGACGGAACAAACGTCGTCGCAAATCTTCACTGTCTAGCAGTACCGATGCCCCATCATCCCGAACCTATGATCCCGTGATGACGGGCAGTACACTACGATCGGCAGGAGGGGCATCGGTAGGTAGTAGTGTGGGGACGGGACCAGTGCGTCGGGGGCGTCGCAGAAGCGGAGTCAGTTCATCTTCATCGGCGGCAGCGGCTGCAGCAGCGGCAGCAGAAGAGGAGGCGGAAGAAGCGGATGCCGTTCGACAGGAGGAGGCTGCGGAGATATTGAGCGGTAATAGCAGCCCATCGATGTTCGTCGATCCGCAGGACTTCTTCGAGACCCTGGACTAAATCTAGATTATTTACAATTTTTAGTAGGTTAAATTTTGTTGTTACTTCCCCGTTCTCACATTTTTTACCCGCGCGCCTCGCCGGCTTCTGTGCGCCTATTTCAAAAATAATAATTGCCGTTCTTTTAACTGTTCGATTTTGCTAAAGATGCGATGCGGCCTTTGATTTAGCGTGATTTTTAATAACTTTTAACATATATATTTTATAATAGCCTTTTTAAGCATAACGTGTGTAATATTATGATGTATAATTAAATTTGCGAACTGTGCTGCGACACGATCCTTGAAACTGATTTAATTCTTTGTTTTTCGCTTCCACCGCCCAAACACACAACACTCACACACCACAGTCAAAATATAATCTAGAAATGATATTGAAAATGGACTAGCCAAGTGCAAAAAAAAACTGTTCAATCATCTACGTAGAAATTTAATAGAGAACCGAATCCCATAGTTAATTGGTATAACAAGTTTGTAGTCTCTCCGCGTTCAAATTCAGATTCTCCGTGTTTTCTGCGATTCTCGATGGATTCCGCGCCATCATGTGTATTGTGGCAAGACTAAGCAAAAGCAAATGAACATTTTAAGTGTAATATTTCGCTATAGTGATTAAGCATATTAAAATTTAATCTATATATACAAGATTGGTCATACACACATACGGCAAGCATGAATACAATTTAACTGGATAATCGTTTAAATATATTGTATGGATGTGTATTTCAGGAAGATATGAAATGTGTTTTGAAATTTGGAAAATTGGGATGTATGGAGTTTTCTATACTTATGGATTTTGAAGTTCTTTTATAAAAGCATTTACATCATGTGCAACAAGAAAGATTTATTTTTCAGTATAAAAACCTTTTACTTTTATAAAGAGAAAATGCAAGAAATCGTCACAGATATTTTAAGAAATTATATACCATTTAAAGATCAGGTTTAAGTGCTAAATCATTCAAATTACAATATCATTTATAATACGATTTATGAGTTTATGTTAATATATAAATTGTAAAACCATTCCAATGAACGGGTTTATCAATGCATCTGCTAATACACATTATATCTATAAATCTGGCTGCCTTATCCTTTGCACCTTCTCATGGTTTTTCACGTGCTCCTTAAGCAGTTGCATTATCTCAGTATCGAATTCCGGAGGCGTTGGTTTTGTTTCGGTGGCCCAATAGAATATATCCCAATCATTACTGACACCATTGATTAACTGGTCATATTCAGCAGTTTGTTTGGCATTGAAATCCCGCAAATATTTGGCCACAAAAGTACTTAGCAGAAGATCGTTCTCGAGCATCCCACGTTTACGGCTTTGATATAATAGTCTAGAAAAGATAATAAATTAAAATGATTGTATATATATAATACTAGTAAAACATTGAAATACCGCTGCTTGCGTGTTTCGAGGGGCTCGTCTGGTCGGACGGGATATTCAGGAACTGGCAAGTGCGGTGGATCATCGTAATCCACAATTTCCACAGGAGTTGTGAACTCAGTTTTATCCAAATTGCTGGCAGAGCGGTTTTGGGCGATCATTGGGAGAGCCAGGCGACGCCCCACTGTTGTTAACTATTAATATAATAATATGTAATCAATATTTCTCTTTGGAATCCTTAAACTTACCAAAAATTGCCGCAACATTTTAGGAAACAAACAAAAAACAATGATATAACGGCAGTGTTGGTGAAGGAACTGCAAGAACGGTGTAAGAACGATAACAAGTTGCTATACAAAATCGGATAGCAGTTGCTATAAATAGTGCTGGAAAATATAAAAAAAATACTGGGATGTTAAATATTATTAAATTTACTTTTTTTTTAATTATTTGTAATTAATTTAACTTGGTCATAACATAAATTTAGTTAAGTTGAACGTGAAGTATTGAACATAAGAATGTAAATGCTTTGAATAACAAAAAATGTATATTAAGACCTTAGAGGTGGGTTAGAAGAAAATGGCACAGTGGTTAAAATTACAAAACAATATTTGGTTATTCCGAATACGCAATTTGTAGAAATCTTTTAAAAAAAAATAAATATAATTCAAAACCTTTTCAAGTTTGAAAATTATAGCAGCTGTTGCAGCCAGTGTTGTTCAACGCCCACCCCCGCCTTGACCAGTGCTGCGAAATTGCTCCGCCAACAGCTGTTCACCCACTCGAGAGAGTGGGCCATCAGTCGCAGTTTGAAAGAGCGAACGAAGCGAGAGAGAGCAGCTAAATTTTCGCACACGAGAAAAGTGCAATTTAAATTACCAATATCACTGCGGCCAAAAATACAAGTGCAAGTGTTCGGCAAGTGCAACGGTAAATAATCACGATCGGTGTAAAAACATCAACGAGTCGCGTAAAAAAGGAGCGCAAAACGAACGGAACCAATAAGAATAAGCAAAAGCAAAAGAGAGCCTCCTGCACACACACACATACTCCATATAGCAAAGCTGAAACAGAGACACACACACACATACATTTGAGCGGTGTGTATACGACTGGAAAACTAGGCGGTGGTAAATGTGAAGCTGAAAAAAGTAGAAAAAAAAGGAAAAGGAAAACTCGGAGGGTGGTGGGTGGTGGCCCAGTGGGCGGGGGGTGTGGCGTGTGCAGCGCGTGAGAGTGCGTAGTGCGTGTGTGTGTGAGTGAGTGAGTGCGCGTGCGAGTGTATGAGTGTGAGTGAAACAGCGAACCAAACTAAATGAAAATTTATACATCCGAAATGGTTAACAGTTTGCATAAAAACGTCATTATTTTTTGCATAATTTAATTTTCTCAAAAGAAACGCTCGAAAGGAAAACTCCGCAGCCCACCGCCTTTTTTTTTACCAAATAGCCGGCGCCTTATTTTTTAGCGCCTACGCCCACGCTTAACACATACACACAGCAAATATAACAAAAAAGGAAGAAAACCGAAAAAAGCTTAAATAAATTATTAAAGCAAAAAAACAAAAAACTCAAAGAAGTTGAACGCCAAAAAGTGATGATTTATTATATCCAAAAATAAAAATGTAAAAATAAAAAAAAAAAACGAAAATGAAAATACCCTAATCCAAAAAAACTAAGCTTAAATATTTGGTTTTTTGGCCTCCAAACTAATTCACTTACATGATAAATTACCGCCCCTTATCGAGATCCCAGCCTTATCTGATGGATTTTTCTTATCAGCACGATTGATGAATTTTGTATCGATATCACAAACATGCTCCATATGCAAATTAGCTGGCTATCGTGCTTTTGCTCTTATTTTTACTTGGCGTCTGCTGATAAAAACCAACAAAAAACAACAACATAATTATAACAGTGCGCGCCCTATTGGACAGACAGTGGCGGTCATAAAATTGGCCATAGTCCTTGCTCAACTCGGGACAGTGTGGTTTATGAAGAAATAACTTTCTTCTAGAAAATAAAATATTGAGATAAAAAATTTAAAATATAATTCTATTGTTACAAGTGTGTTTAAAATAAAATGTGTAAAATGCGTAATAAAAACTAAAAATGATTAGTAAACATTACTAAAACATTGATTAAAAATACATACAGATAAAAAAGCATCTCTCATTTAGTATTATTTATACATTTTAAATATTTGAATCATGAACAAATTTACTACACTTTATTTAAACACAATTGTATAAAGTAAACACCCTTGGTTACCCACTGGTTCCCTTTATCGGTTGTGCACTGTTTATAGTGAATCATCCGCTGACCCGTGCATTTGTTATTGTTAATGGGTTCAATATTCCATTTCAGTTGAAACCGTAAAACTGTACATAAGCAAATAAGATAAAAAGAAATACAAAAAAATCCAGGAAAATTGGAATACAAAAAAAAAACAACAAAACCGAAAAGTCCCCGTGTAAATCCAAATCCAAAAACCAAATCCAAAAAAAACCCAACAAAAATGGGCTGCACCACATCTGCCGAAGAACGCGCCGCCATACAGCGATCGAAACAAATTGAGAAGAATCTGAAGGAGGATGGCATCCAGGCGGCCAAGGACATCAAGCTCCTGCTGCTGGGTAAGTGTATAGTCCCTTTACCCTTTTGGTTTTTCCCATCCGCACACCGGAAGTGGAAATTCCGCTATTCGTTTACCTTTTCGACTCGATTATATTGTTCTATTTTCGAGGAAAATTGCTGGTTTATCGGCAGACACATTCTGAAGCACTTGAGAGAGTGCGTTGGAAAATTGTATTTTGGGTTTTATGTGCCGATAGATAGGGGAATATCTAACGTAGACACTTCCACACAGCGGAAACAGTGAAAGGAAATTCTAGATAAAATATATTTTTATTTTTTCTGATATTTAAGGCTATTAAGGTTTCTTATATGGTTGGTAAAATACTTATTTTAGATACTTTTCCGGATTATTTGAAAATAAAATTAATATTCACCTTTTTGGAAATATTTTATAAAAATATTTAACTGCAATTAAGGTCTAAACACTAAATGTTTAAAAAAATAAACTTCCACATTCTTAACACTGAAAATGACATTCCGAATATTCCATTTTGTTAAACTTTTATCAATTGTTCCTCAACTGACAACTAGTTTGTTTTTCCTTAAGCTATAGAAAAGCAACTTAAAAGTTGTTAAGCCTTAACTTAACGACTTGTTGCCCTAGAAAACTAAAAAAATATATAACCCACTGAAGGTTATTCCACTTTATTTGACTGATGATGCATTCATCGATTCCATGACAAAACTATTCTTAGCGTGTTTTTTTGGCCAAGGCAAAACCGAAGTAATTTAGGTCAACTTTTCGGTGTTGCATGTGGAATGGTTATCCCAAAAATAAAGTTGACTCATTGAACCACTGTGCGGGCAACAACAACAACATGTTCAACACAATGGTGAACAGCAACAGTTGCATCTGCGTTTGTGGCGGCCGCCGAGTGTGAAAACTAAACACTTTCAAGGAGCCATGTGGCTTTGTAGGGATCTCTTGCCTCAACTCAAGTGGCTTAGAACCATAAGTTAGAGATGGGATAGGTAACATATTGTTTTCATAGAAAAAACCTCGAAATAGTTAACTATAAATCTGTTAACTAATTTCTCAAAGAATATTAAAAAACCGAAGTAAAGCTAGAAAGTTATTGTATTCTTTGTTAAAATTTATTTTTGTCCCAACTTATTTGTCATCTCTGTTCGACATCCACCCCAATCTCAATCTCATCGTCAAGTGCATCTGCATCCGAGGCAGCAACTGCAGCTGCAGCCTTAGCCTTAGCCTTAGATTTTGGCCAAGTGCGTCTGTATCCGCCAAAGAGCGAAGGCAATCGACGCCACTTGACATTGAAACAATTGCACGTGTGTGTCACTCACTACCCAAGCAACATGGTTGTTGCACCAAGGGTTTTGGGTGACAGAGTGTTTGTTAACCTGGTTGCGCCACTGACATTGAAATGTCAGTTAATCCTATTGACTTTGACTCGCCCCCCAAAAAAGAGATAAGCATGCAGGCGGGAAGGCAGGCAGGCAGCCAGGGAAAGGGCAAAGCTGCCACATACATGGGCATTTCTCTTTCACTTTAACATGGTGCACAAACATGTTACTGTAACATGTGCAACAAGGAGAAGCACTTGGAAAAAGAGAGACATATTTAAGGCCATATAAAATTGATACTTTATATATTTCATCTTGAAAAAAATGGATAATGATGAAGTAACTTTTTGCCTAAAACCCATATAAGTTATTATAATTTTTGTTAAATTTTTATTGCTTTCTAAGCCCTGTTTACTCTCAGTGTAGTCGCATTACTTCACCCACAGTTACTCGCTGTTGTTCTGTGCAATCAGGCAAAACTTTTAAACGCCCTAACAAGCAACAAGGAGCAGAGTCGAGTGGCGAGGAATGGGTGGATTGCAGCCATGTTGCAACAAGGCCCATTGAATGTGTGTGTGTGTGTGGCAAATGGGAATGGGAGGTTTGCGGGGATGGTACCCCAAAAGGTAGGTGCCACCGGGGGAGGCGGTAGACGACGAATGGCAGGCGGAAGCATCGAATGGCGGCCAGGAAACACTAACGAAACAATGGACGGCACAGGACGGAAGGGAGTGAAAGGAAACGTGTACATGTCCTGGGTGTGGCTGCATACTTCGCAACAGCACTGTTTGCTCTGGCCCCCTCTCGAGTGGCGCCTCCTGGCGGAAGTTTGAAGAAACTGCCACTTGAGGCATAATTTTCAAGCCAAAGGTTATTGAGGAAACCGTTCGATGCTCGTTTGTTTGCCACTTTGTTGGCCCTTGTACTGAGTGATATGGCTGCAGAAAACAATAGAGATGGAAACAATTGTGAACTCAGCTGGACTAGGAAAATGTGCTTCAAAAGATGGTAGCTTCTCTTTTAGTATTTAGTTTACAATATTACCATTTTTAAGATGAAGTTTCAAAGTATATAAATGATATGTTCTAAAGTACATTAGCATATAGATCCATTACTTATTACATTTGTCAGTTTAACTAAAAGATAATGTTTCCTTTTCTAAACTTCAACAGGCATTAGTTTTATCTTGACTAATGATAAATTATTTACCATGTTATCAGAAAGTAAAAGCGTCCAAGGCTTAAGTCGTCGATAACAAATTACTGTCAGATAAAAAGATAATGAAAAATCCGACCTTACCCTTTATTTCCGCATTTCAAAAGTTATTTACAAAAATAAAAGTACAATTTTCAGATGAACGAGTGCTCATTCAGGATTTTTCTGATGAAAACTGGAAGTTATTCGATATTAAGACTTTGGGGAATAAACTTTTCTTTGCTTCTGGTGTTTATAATATAAGTATACAAGCTTTATGAATCAGCTATGATTGAACAAGATGTTAAATATTTATAACACTAAGGGACCTAGTAAGTTAAATACCAGTGGGACCTATTAAGATTTGTTATGCTGAAAAGTGGAAGTCATTCGAATTGGGTCTTTGGGGAATACCAATTCTGTAAAGTTTACTTCCATTAAGAACTTTGGAAATACATTTATTTTCCAAGGAAAAATACTGTTTATGAATAATTTTTCTAAACATTAAACATAAAAGCTATCAATGACACATCCAATTCAAAACATTAAACAAATGTAACAAAGTAATTAAGGTTGCACCGCCTGCTTCCAAACCTCGAGTCTAAAGAGCCCACAAAATGGCCATAAACAGGCTCGTTAGATAAACTATAAAATACGAAACAGCAAATACAACACAAATCGAACCTAATTGAGCAGAGTCAAATGTCGCCTGAGTGCCAAAAGGTCGCGCGACCTGCAGCAACTCGGTAAAAAAAAAAGCAGAAATTGCCACAGAAAAAGTGGAAATGGAAAATGGCAATGGATGGATGTATGGTTCTGTTGGGTTTTGGGGGAGGTGCAGATTGTTTCAGACAAGTGCACAAGTGCTCCACTTTGCCGCTGTCTGTCATTTATTCCGAAGAGCGAAGAGTTCGCGTGATAAAAACAAAAAACGCTGTCAATTTGTTTGCCGTTTGTCGTTGACTGCGGTTTGTGGTTCCTCCGACCTTATCGCTGCCCCTTCGCCCCACAATAATAACAATATAGTTCACCCTCTGCTTTCTGTGGATCCCACCAATTCATTCAATAATTTCATTTGCCCATTCATTGTTTTCAATTTCGTTTTTTTTTGTTGTTGTTCTTTTTTTCTGAACTGCCAACGTTTTTGGTCCATATTCGCAAAGTGATAATTTAATTAAGCTTGTTAGGGGCAGCGAGGTGAAAACAGGGGTTCACTTTTTGAATTTGAAATATGGTTTTTACTCGAAGCAGTATATGTTGGTCTAATTGTAAAAGTTTAATCGAAAATCCAGTAGGTTCTGTAGTATAGAGTTTTATATGACTAATAAATAGCCCTTTCAAAAAGTAAAATTTCCCAACGGGTATTATCAAAAGGAAAAACCCATCATATTATTGGTAATCAGCAGAAGCAGAAAAGCATTTGGTTTTGGGTTATACTATCTTTTGTCAGTAAGTTGTTCAAAGACTTTAATCATTTAATTATGAATATATTCAGAATTTTTAAATTTAATTCTGCTTTATAAAGTTTCTAGAGATTTCTGCTTGCTGTGCATGCCATGTGCACGCATTCTTAAAATTAATTTAATTTGTTTAATATTTATAAAAAAAACTTACAAAGTTACCCATTGATTGTTATATTTTCCTTTTATTCCTCCGTGCACTTCGTGCATTTTCACATTGTCCTTTTTTTGTGACATTTTGTTTTCGTCACGCCATTTGCTCGTCGTAGAGAGTCAAATTGCCTGTTCTCCCTTAACTCTTTGACACGGGTACATGGTGGTAATTATCGCCGCCTTTAACCGAACTCGAATGGGTTGGAGTGTTGGGGTGGTGCTAGAAATTCTCGGAAAATCAGACTTTCCCCGGAAAACTTGCCTCGTGATTGCCTCTTGTCAAAGGTTCAGAATCAGGATGTCAACACTTAATTGGCTGGCCGAAGAGTTCAAGGTAAAATGATGGTAGAAAACAAAGGAAAATTGTTTATTCTTGGAAATTTAAGAGACACATGCATTATGTTCATTGAATAATGTGTATTATGTTGTTAGTTTTTTTTAATCAAATTAGTGGAAATTTATTTGGAATTTTAATTTTAAGGTAAGATCCATTCCTGGCATAAGGCAATTTGGGAGAAAATTAAACCTTAAGCCAGAATCATTCTCACACTTTCCTATCACACATATTCCCAATTTCCCTTCCACATTGAAGCAGAGTAAACTGATTAGCTCACTATAAATAACCTATAGTTATAGCCCTTAAGGAGTTTCCCAAACCCAAACATACGATCCATTAGCGTCGGTCATCAATTCATGCCAGCCATGCTTCACTGTATAATTAAGCATAAATAATTGCCGACATTTTGCCCGTTTGATGGCCGAAGTCAATTCCTTAATTGAGCTTGAATGGCATTTTTTATGGTTCCGTTAATTGATTTACTCATAATCTCGATTTGAAGTTGCAGGTATTCAATACCATTGAGATATTCAATCAAAGTTCTCGTTGACAGAATCCTATCAATCGAATTGAATGCGATTGTTTTATCTAATGGTGATTTCCCTTGATTTTCCGCTGTACCATCGATAGAAAGAGTGAAAAAGAGAGTGAGAGGGGCAGGAAGGATCCTGCTGCTGGCCAAAACTGTGCTGTGTTTTGTGCTAATGCGCTTTGGCTTGGCCCATAAACGTGGCAAAGTTCTAAAGCCGTCGACTTAATTGTGTGCGAGGAGGGTGAAGCAGGTGGTGGTTAGCAATGGCATTCTCCATTTAAACTGCAAAGCCACTTTAAGTTGCTCAAAAAAAAAAAAGAAAGGAAAGAAAAACGAATTTCGCGTGGGCGCACTCGTTGCTTCGAGAGTTGTCCTTGTCTTGCGTTTACTCGTTGATTATGTCCTGCGCAGACTCGTTATTTATGCTCTCCAACTTTCCAGTGGCGCAGGCGCAGGCACTCTCAGTTCACCTCTCTCTGTATTTCTCTCTGAGCTTTCGTGTATACTAAGAAAGCTTGCCTCTTTGGGCGGCACCAAAAAACAAGAGAGCATGAAACAGAGAGAGAGAGATTGAGAGGGAGAGCAGTTCCAGCGCATCCAGGCACACAGTTCCGTTAGTTCATTCGAATTCTGCCAGCTCTCCAAAAAACTCGCACAAAAGAGAGCTACAAACTTAATGTTAAAACATTTAAATAAAAGTCTCGAAAAAAGTGTAAAATATATAAAAATATGTAATAATTAAGAGTGCTAAATAAAATTTACAACAACAATTCAGTTTGGCGCTTAAATCTGTGAATTTGCAAAAGTTCTTCACCCATTTTCACGTCTCCCTCTCGTTTTTTTCGTTTTTGGAGAAACGCATGAATCATTTTGGCCTGCTGGAATACAAAAACAAATAGCTGCCAAGTGTACAAAAGAAAAGTTGTGTTTGTGCTTTTCTTATTTGGCTGAAGCAACAAAAAAAAATATATAGCCTCCTTGCGTCAGCATGTGCCCATTTTCCAGCTCTCTCACTCCCACTCTCTTGTTTATGGCCACTTGTAAGACAACGCGTGAATATTTTTTTTTTTTTTACAAATTTGGAGAAGTTATTAACAAAAGAATTATTAATTATATATGCAATGATTATAAGCAAATATTAAATATGTTTTTTCAAAATTGTGATTATCCCATAACAATCCAAAAAATACTCCAAATTGTTTTCATAAATTATTGATTTTTTGCCATATTTGTACGCATTCTGAATTTTGGTTAATGAAAAATACGCTCCTTAATTACACATTTTTCCTTGGCTCAGAAAGCCCTCGCCTAGAGCTTTTCCACTCGCTGCTCGCGCTCTCTCTCCCTATCTCCCTGTCTCTCTTTCATATTTTCTAGTTTTTCCTAGCCAAAGACAACAAAATTTCCCGCATTTGCCAGCGAGTAACGAATTTCCTTGCTCTTGGACACGCGGACTTTTCAGTTTACAATTAGACTCTATCGTTAGCGGTCAAAAAACGCGTATCCTTGAGAATCCTGTTTTTTGTGCGGAGATCAAAACAAAATGCGCAGATAAAAACAAAACTGAATTGTTGAGATGACATAATAATATTTTGCAGTGTTTAAGGAAAACTAAAAACAAAACTGAATAAAAGAAAAAAGAACAAACCAAATAGAACAGTGAAGAAAAGTGTTAAGAAAATTAAGAAAAAAGATTATAAATCAAAACTGAAAAGTGACAAAGTCGAATCCCTCGGATACCAGATACATAGTTAAATTCCAAAAGTTTTGAATCCCCAAACGTTTTAACACCTGGTTTTCTTCGCTGGCAACGTAGTCGGCCATTGAGTTGGCCGATACCAAACGACCTTCAAAACGTTTTGCGTCGAGGCAATACGCACCATGGGCTGCGCACAGTCTGCCGAGGAGCGAGCCGCAGCCGCCAGAAGTCGCCTCATCGAGCGCAATCTCAAGGAAGATGGCATACAGGCGGCAAAGGACATCAAACTCCTTTTGCTGGGTGAGTTAATGTTGCCCAGAGGAAACTCAATTCGCTAAATTGAACGCACACCGGAGAAGCTGTTTTTTTTCACATGAATATTTAATTCGCGGCTGGGCTAAAATTAGTGTAGCATACTTAGCGGCTGCCCAGGCGGCTCATTAAAGGCCCCTGAAAAAATGTGTCCTTAGAATGAGCTTCGTCAGCTGTGCAGCCTTGGCCTTTGACCGATGCTATTTGTGGTATATAACAGGACTACACTCTAAGGACTTTTTTTAAAATGCTGGGTTTTTAAGAAAAAACTTTTTGACTAATATAAAAAGTCCTACAAAATTTGAATTTTTGATCAAAATTTTGTATCAGTGCTAATGTTTAGAATGTTTGCTTTTGTTTAGAAAGTTTAGCGTTTTCCACAAACTTACAAGTTTATTTGAGAAATCAAGTAAATAAAAATAGGAAAACCATTTATCATCAGTAGCCTTAAAACTGCCAAAGTTCTGGCCAACAGAAAGACTTATAAACAAACCATATAAAATGCAAAAGTCATTCTGATTCGTACTTATGCCACCCTGAAAACAATTCCCACAGAACTTGACTGTTTAGTTGTATCAATTATTTAATTACATTATATCGATTGCCATTGCCGTTGGCATAAGGAACTGCATATAGTGCTTCCATTTTCTTGGCAACGTTTCCTCTCTCGATTATTGCTTAGTTCAACTGGCTGCGAATTGCCATAAATTTAATAATCACAATAATATTTTTATGTATCAGACGGAAAGTTCAAGGTCAATTGTTTGCGGGCAAACGGAAACTATATGTATATATACTAGCATATATAAAGTCAGGGAAAATAGTGTGGGCATATGTGAAATAAAATATATTGCAGTTGATTGTAATTGCAATTGGATTCCGATTTGTGATAAGCGGCTGGCGTAATAAACATGTCCGCCGGGAGGCATTAACGAATGAAAAATAGACATTGCATTCGGCATAAATAAACTATTTGGAAAATTTTGCATTTTCCTCATGGCAACAATATGAATTGATATTATTTTCGAAATTGACCAAACTTGGGCTACGTTAATCAAGGCGAAAAATTGTAGGGAGAAAATTGCATTTTTCTACCCTGGCCAAATGAGTAATTTCCATATTTTCATATACTTTTTTCAGTAGCTCTCATCTCCGGCCTGCATATTCACCCATCCACCTACCACCGCCCCATTTTCGCTGTTTACATTTCGTGTATTTCATTTAATTTCCTCTTTTGCTCTCGGACTCGAACTCAGCTGAAAATGAAAATGAAAATGTTTGGCAGGGGGAATGGAGATGATTTCAAATTCTGACAGTTTTGCGTGTGTTTCAGTATAAAAATGTTCATTTTCAGGCAACACCCACTGCTGCATGCGTGTGTGTCTGTATGTTCCTGAGTGTACTGGAAATGTTTATTTAAAAAAATTGTTCTTATTTTGTTTTCATTTCATTTTTTTTCTGTTTTTTTTTGGCTTGCCGTGCGCATCCAAGAATTCATAATAATAATCAGAGCAACAGACGTATATAGTTCTGTCTTTATCTCGCTCGCATCGCTTCCGAATCTTTTGTTTTCCTCTGCAATCCACGAAGGCATTAAAATTAAGCACTTTGCCTTCGATTTCCACACAAACAAAACATTAATCTCAGGTGCCTCACTCACTCCCCCTCGATGGTCTCCTATAAACAAGCCCGGGAAAATTTCCCTGTTCACTGCTCTTAAGTTTTTCCAAAATCTAAACATTTTTCTTGGTTTTCTGGGTGGAGTTTTTGTAAAAGATAATTTTTCGATTTTTTTTTTAAGATGTGTGGACTTTTTCAAGTGGTGGACAATGAACTCTTTGAGTTTTTCCATCATTTCAATGAAAAATAACCAAGAAATGTAAACGTAAAAATTTGGTGGGAGAAACTTTGTTTATGTTAAGGTTTTCATTGATTCAAATTCTGCCTTTACCTCTTAGCTTTGGCTTTTAAATGGAAAGAATATTTATTTAAATATTTTAATTTATAATTCTAAATAGTTTAAAGGCCTTCTGAAGACTTTTTACTTTGCATACAACTTTTTAATCCGAAAATGCACATTTTAATAGCAAATACTTAGCAGAATTATCACAAAATGTGGCATGGAAATTATGAAAAGACTTTCATTATACATTTATGACCAACGAATTGCGTTTTATTTAAAGCTTCTTGAAGATAAAAAAGCTATAGTGGTCAGCAAAAATAGACGAATGAAAATGGCATTTATCAAATTATGCCATTTTCCCAAGGACAGCTTGGCTAAGCAAGCCAAGCTCGCTTTCTCTCCTCTTCTCTTTAGCTATTCTCGATTATCTCGTTTATCAAACACAAAAAACCCCCTTCAGCAGACGACACTCAATTAACAAATTGCATTCAATTGGATGGAAATCTTGCTAAAATTGCAGCCAGCTAGCTATGCAAAATCCTTGAATGCAATCTGGGAGACGTGGCAAAGGAGTCTGTCTATATAAGTCGCCAGATGACCAGGGCCAAACAATTAATCCTTTGTTTGCCATTTAGATTTGTGCCCCCTTTGCGTTCCTCTTTTTTCTTCTCTCATTTCTTTTTGGCCGACGGCAACTCAAGATGATGATACATTGACGACGACGATGATAATGATACTGATGATGACGATGGGTGGGTGTGTATACGAGCATATATAAGTTCTCAAAGGCCATTAAGCCCTACTTGAGGAATACAAAGCACAGACATTTAGTGCTCGAGAACTAAACGCAGCATAAATATTTGCAACCCTCTAAGAACTTTTGTCGGCGCCGATAACCGCATAACCAGACTCATAAAGACTATATCTCTTATCTGTTTCTTTTTTTTTTTGTTTTTTTCTTCAAACGCATCACTAACTTTGTACTTAAACCAAACTATGTATATGTTCTAGGTGCCGGTGAATCTGGCAAGAGCACAATAGTCAAACAGATGAAAATCATTCACGAGAGCGGCTTCACTGCGGAGGACTTTAAACAATATCGACCGGTTGTCTACAGCAACACAATACAATCATTAGTTGCAATATTGCGCGCGATGCCAAACCTAAGTATTCAGTACAGCAATAACGAGCGGGAGGTAAGTCCACCAATGAGTTGCCATTCACAAGTTTATTCTACATTTTCTTTCTCATTTTCCATATGATTTTCTAACTACTAGAGCGATGCCAAGATGGTGTTCGACGTTTGCCAACGGATGCACGACACCGAACCCTTCTCGGAGGAGCTGCTGGCCGCCATGAAACGCCTCTGGCAGGATGCCGGCGTCCAGGAGTGCTTCTCGCGCAGCAACGAATACCAACTAAATGATTCCGCTAAATAGTGAGTAGAACAGAGATATCTTATATATATAATATATAGTGTATATATGTTTATAGAAATATATTTGAAAATGGGGTGTGAAGTGATACAGGCAGCTGGTTCTGGGGGAGAATTATTTTAAATTGTATTATTTTAAATTTAAAGACGTGGGCAGCGGATATTAATTGGTTTATTTTAAACTTGCCTGGCAGATTAAAACATAGCAAAGACAAAGAGCTAAATTTGTAATTTGTTTTAGTATAAATTGGTTTAAATTCCTAAAAGTCCAGGTCTTTATATAAGTATTTTAGCCATTTTGAAACTTAATACACCTTAGCTTTTCTGTCTAAAATTAACTTTGGCATACCATGATTGACCTTAAATCTATTTCAAGACACATCATTAAGCCTGTAAATACGTGATTTTTGTCCAATTAATTAGATTTGTAATCTTATATTTGAGATTTTCTTGGTAGACTTCTAAAAATACTTTATTATTGCCTTAAAGAAACATTTTTAAAATCACTTCTAAAATTAAACTCACCAAGCCACTCGACCAATTGAACTAATGATGCACTTAATAGAAAGCAATTAATCATGGGCATAGATTGGCGTTAGCTTGACCTTAGCCATCACACACTTTTGTCCTAGGCTCGCTCTAAGCCCACTCGCCTTTTTGATTAATGATAATGCCAGACGAGAAAGGCAAACAGAAACAGACATTTTATTGCATACTTTTCGACGCTTTATTAGGTACAATTATTCTTTGAGCGAAAAAAAGGAACAACTAAAACTATGTTTGGGGGGAATATATATATATATATATAATGGGTTCTATATACACATGTATCAACATAAATACACAACGTTTATTTAGTTACACGCACCCACAGAACTACGCTCGTGGCCATAGGATGTACTCAAATTGTCGGTTTCTGTATGTCTGTGTGTGTGTGTGCTATGTTTCTGTGCTATGTACATTTGCTTAATTAAAAAGAAACATCGCAGCAGCAGCAGTAGCAGCTGGGCTTTGACTATAAATATCACACATCCGCCGTGTGTCACTGCAGCTTTGAGGCTGAGCTCTCAGGGCCTCCAGTTCCCTTCGCTGGAGACTTCACACTCACTCGTCCCTTAGCGTTAGCTTGAAATTTAGAGGCGACTGTGGAATGTACGTGGAGTTCACACGGTAAACAAACTCTCCGGAGTTGTACGAAACCTTGTATTTACGGAAGATCTGTTTGGGAAAATTAACAACAGGGCAAATTAAAGTTGGGAAAGGTACAGAGAAAATGCCAAAAAACAAAAAACTCACCTTGGCCAGCAGCGTGTGCAGCTCGATTTCAGCAAAACGACGACCCACGCACATGCGACGACCAAAGCCAAAGGGCAAACTCACAAACGGGTGAATTTTCTGGCTGGCATGGGGGCAGCCAGCTGAAAAGTAAGGGCACATTGGTTAGGGCACTCGAAAAAATATTGCGAAAAATTTAAACAAATTTGGAAAGAGAAGAAGGAATTATAAGATAAAATGCAGCAGTCTACCCTTTCTTAGAAAACCTGTCTATGATTTATTTAAATCTTTTCTTTTTACACTCCTTTTTGTTTACTTTTCCATAATATATACCATATATATCATAAAGAAAAGTCCTGCCACTAAAAAAAGAAGTGAATCCTTTTTACCAACTAAGTGCCTGGCACTTTATAGCACCTGTGTGTGTGTGTGCTTTGCCCTGAAGACACTTTTTTAGTGCTGAACTCACCTGCATCTGGCGCTGACTGTTTAAGCCAGCGTTCTGGCAGAAAACGTTTGGGTTCTGGGAAATATGCGGGATCGTTGGAAACAACCAAATGGGGGAAGATAACGTGCGTCTGAAAGCAGGAGAAGATTGCAATCAGATGGCATACCAAATGGTCAACCATTTCTAGGAAACTTACGCCTTTGGGGACGTGATAACCATTGATGACAGCATCCGACTGGAGACTACGTCCATTGGCTATTACCACGGGTCGCATACTATATGAAGGAAAAAGGGTTTTCCATTAAAAATATGGAAATTTCACTCAATTAAAGAGAGTGCTTTCATACCGCAGCGTTTCCTTTACACAGGCTCGCAGGTAGGGGATTTGTTCGAGGACATTCTGGTTGATCTCAGCCTCGCGATTGGGAAAAACTTTCTGCAGCTCATCGAAGAGTCTTTGCTGTTTGTCTGGGTTCTTGGCCAGCTGATAGATGGTGGAAGAGGCTGCTACGGAGGTCTAAAAGATTATAAAGTTAGCAATTTAATAGTTTAAAGAAATTGTATTCTGGAACTTACTGTATCCACTCCCACTAAGAACAAATCCAATGCCAAAATGGCAGCCAATTTGCGATTGCCCGTCTTTCGCACTATTCTCTCAACAATGGATATATCCGCCTCTGATTTGGGCACACCCCTAGCCTCATCGGCATCGGCCTTGTCCATAGTTTTGCCAATATTCTTCATGCAAATTCTGTATGATTTCATCGACTGATTATTTGCCCAATTATTTGGATATTTTATGGAACTCACGCTGTGAACTGATCCAAAGCCCTGACGAAGCTTCTATATGCCTTGGTGGGATATATCCGCCACAGGGGCATTCGCAGCTCCAGCTCTGGAACGGCCCAGAAGAATGTGTTGATGGCCTCGATAATCTGTTTTGCCTCCTCGCTGCCCTCGGGTGACAAACAGCCCAATCTGGTATCCAGGGAAACGCGACCAACAGCTGGAAAGGATTAATCAGAATTTTTAGGGATTTTTGTACTTCCACTTAAGAAATATAATTACATTTCTTAAAACAAAGCAGATGTAGGGGGTCAAACGCACAAATATGATTATTATAAACATAAACTTTTCTGTACTGCGAAAAACATGGTTTTATGGCCATTAAGATTTTCCAGGAAAATCTTGCGTTATGTTTGTCGTCAACTAAAATGGCCAATTAAAAGTTTTTCGTACACACTTGGAAAAGCAAAGTCTCTTGCTCTCAACAAAGTTTAAATTTAATTATTAAACATTTTAATGGAAACACCAAAGAATGCAAATCGCATTTACAGTTTTCTGAGAAATACTAAAGCCAGAATTAAATCAAATAATGACTATCAAAGGATGTCCTTAGTCCTGAGATCATTATAAACTAATTGGCATTGCAATATTTCAAATAAATATGTCCAGCAAAGTGTGATAATCGCATAAGTAAAATGAAATTTGCAGCAACTTACATTCCAAGGCCCATTTGTAGAGCTCGTGCAGGAAATTGGCTGGCAGCTCCTCCTTTTCGTCGCGCATCAGCTCAATACTGCAGATAGATATATAGTATATATATATATATTCTTGTATATATATGAAGATTGCATAACAAGTTGGCTGGTTGGATGCTAAGACTCCGACTTACCGGCCCATAAACTCGCTGGCAATGTCATTTAGCGGCGGAATGTACTTCTTGGCCGTCTGCGGCTGCAGCAGGATGTGCTGCACCTCCTGTCTGAAGGCCTCCCATTTGGGTCCGTGACTGGAAAAAACAGTAGGTTGAAGGTTTATGTATGGGGTGGATCCGCCATAATATCCGTTATATAAGCACATTACTTACACGCCAATTAGGCCGGCCACATCGCCAAAGAAATCGCGTCGCAGGTCGCCCTTGTAGTGGCGCAGTGAGGGCATCGACGGTCTGGGTTTCACATCAGCAAATAAAGAGTGGGTTTTGTGCAGGAAAAAGGGCATTGCAAAGGGGTACACAGAGAGAAAAATGATATATTATATAGAAAGGAGACATATTTAATGAAGATATAGCTAAAAATAAACAATAAAATTATATTTTTACCCAAGTAAAGTTAATTAAAGAAATCTATTTTTGACATATTAAAAAGTCATGTCTATTTTGATACCAAAAAATCCTAAAATATTCACAAATGAAGTTCATTTTGTTTTGCCTTTAAACATGTTAGTAAGGCAGTGTATGAGTTGGCTAAAAGCCCATACCCGTTTGATACCACCCAACCGCCCCTTTTGAGGTCGCTTGCCCTTGCGTGCAGACAGACCGGCGACGACAACATCAAACACAAATTCATACTGAAAAGCCAACAGAAAGTGAAGCGATTTGACTCCATCTCCTAGTGGCTTTTAGATCCTCCCCCTGCGATATACAGACAAGCTGCTATTTGCATTATGTTTGTCTATTCGCATGTCACAGAACAAATAAAAGAAGCGTATTTATTGGCTTTTGTTTTATGCACCACCCTTAGGACAGCCACCCACAACTTAGCCAACAATTTGGCGCGTTTGACTTGACTGTTGTTTTTCAATTCTCCTACTGACATTGAGTTGCCCTAGGCAACACGAAAATGCTCAATTAAATGTGAGATTTAAGTGTAAATATGTAAAATGTTTTGTGTTTTCTGCTTTTTTCAAAACGTCAAGAAAATTCAACCCTGAAGTGTCTATGAAAATAAGTTGATTCTCACCATCGCATTATGCAAATTTTGTTGGTACTAACATTGAGCTGTGAAGAACGTAATAGTTTAAAAATAGTAAAAAAAATGAATGAAGTCATGATGGTTGAGATGTCTTTTGTGCTTTCTAATGTTTAACTTGAATTTAATATTCAAATTATGAGAAAGAAAAAGATAATTTGGAAGTTATAAAGATAGAAATTGAAAATTAAACTTAAAAAACAAACAAAACAAATAGTATCTCAGCAGTTTTTAGTTCTATCTGTTAGCTTATCAAAGCTGTCAATGTAAACATTTTGAATGTGACAAAGAATAAAGGAAGAGCTTAGCAAGTGCTAAAAACTAAGATAAACAAGTTTGTTTGCCCTAAAATTTCATGCTAAATCTGAAGCGACGTCTTAGGCATACTAATTACTTAACCTGGGAACCCCCCCACAGAAAAACTCTCGCCTTACAATCTTGTAATGAAAAGTTTGACCCCAAGATTGTCACGATCGAAACTCTAACCCGAAATACCTTTTCCCTAGCTTAGATATTCCCACACACGAATTGGCGTTTCTCTTTGAATTTGATGGGTCTCGTAAAAAGTCAACAAAGCCGACGCCTCTGGTACATGTGCACATGCGTATCTCTTGGCCGAATATCTTCATCAATCAGTTGGTCAGTTGGTCAGTCAGTCAGTCAATCAGTCAGTTAGCAAGTTGATGAGCAGTAGTTAGCTTCACACTTCTACGCCGGCAGATGGTTCATTCATCAATCTGTCTGCTTGACCAAAAACAAAAAAAAGAGCCAACATTACGTTAATGTGGTCTCATGTCCAATCTATTAGCGATTCTTTTCAGTCATTTTAATGATGACTTGCTAAATGTGCTGGCCAAAAGCAAACAATAGAGTTTTGTTTTTTGCGATGTCTGCCATCGATCCGAGTGTGTGTTTGTGTGTGTTGTTGTTGTTGGGTTGTCTTATAAACTATATAAACTATTCGAAACATAAGCGTAACTTGTTAAATTTGGTTCATGGCCACGGCTATGATCGCAGATATGTCCGAACGATAGGGAAAGGCGGAGAAAAGAAAGCTTATAAAAGTTATGGACACGTTAGCGATCTTTGTGTGACTTTCGTTTCGGTCTGTTTGTTTTCCTTCTTTTTTTTTTTTTTGCCTTCATCATTTCGGTCAGTTTTATTTATTTCTATGATGCAAAAAAAAACTAAGAGCTTGTCGGATTTTGTGAATAGTTGGGTTTGTTTGGATATCGTGTTGCTAGGCCTACGGATCGGTTGGCGGAATGAGAAGTGAAAGTCTCAACTAATTTCAATTTAATGGCTTATTTTTATCACGCGCAAAAATTTGGATTATGATTGTTTTTCAAATGCCAGAATTTGTCTCATGTTTTATTTATTTAAATTAGGATTTAATGAAATTTAATCTTTATATGACTGAATATTCGAAATATATTTTATGAAAAGTTTAAATAATATTTGCCTTTGTTTTATAACTTAATCAAGATAGTCCTTAATGCTTTTGGTTTTATTTTTAGTACTAGAATTCACTTTTTTCCTTGTTTTCCTTACTAGAAAATATTCAACTATTTGGTTATATATGTAAATTTTTAAATTACTTCCACAAACGAGTTAAATTCCCACGCAAAAGTGACATAACTTCACGCCTTTGCCCTATCCGTCCCAGCGATTCCAATCTGTCACAATATTTTCACACATCCATCTGCGTTTAATCCGCATTTCCCAGTCGCCATCGCCATCGCCATTGCCATCGCCATTTTCTGCCTTCGTTAGTTAATAATTTAATTACAGGCTGCATTCATTCAATATGCGCATAAATAAACAGGAATTGCATTTACATTGCGGGTGGGTTGGTTGCTGGGTGGTTGGTTGGAGTGGAAAAGGTGGAAATCGGTCATGCATGACTGACTTTGGTGCGGATATATATGCTATATATGTATATGTGCGTGGGCTTTTGCATGTGTATATAGGGGATTACTGGTAATTCAGACCAAGTGCAGCCATGCAGGACTTAACCATAATCTTGGGTTAACAACATATTTAATGGACTTGCGTTTTAACCTTTTAGTTAGTTAGTTAGGTTGCTCTAACTGTTGGGAAAACTTTAAAGGAAAAGCTAACAACTCATAGTTGCTTATAAAATCAATCATTTGATAACTAATAGCTATAACTATGCTCATTTCGTATTATATAACCGAAAGCCTTCCTTTCTCACGATCTATAAACATGCTAAAGCCAATCAATCATATCAATCATGACATGTCACACGCGTCGTATACGCAATTTTCGATATACACCATCGAAGGATGGCTAAAACTGATTAATCACTCACCGGTGCGGCATTGCCTCCTCTTTCTTGAATATGTTACGAATCTCATCGCCATCGAAGACGAACAGCAAGTCCGGATGACCAATCAATCCACCCACTTTGGCCATCTTTCCATAGTTGACATGCAGCTCATTCATAACCTTGTCCAGGTCGCTAATTTTGTACGTTCCTGCCAGTGACAAGCATTTATTAGTAGTCGAGTCCTTGTCGGCATTTCACCGGAAGCCCATGGAGAAGGACTCACCAATTAGTGGGGCAAAGCGCCAGGAGTTGCCTATCAATGGTAAGGGATATGGACCCGGTACTTCCGAGTAGGGACGCACTGCAGCCGAAGAAGTGGCTGTGGTAGTGGTGGTAATGTTGCTGGTGGTGGTTTCAGCTGCCAATGCAGTTGTTGGAACCTTAGTTGTTGCTGCTGCTGTTACGGCTTGTTGGCTGTCAATTAGTGTAAATTGTATACAGTGAAAGAAAAATTTATAAATCTTATTCATCTTTCGTTAGTTAGTACTTTGAAAATCCCTCAATTATTTCGATTTTTAGATGAGAAATCGATAAAACTTCACTTTTTCTTCCTGTGTAGAAGGCAGTGTGAGAAAATCACGAACCTGACATTTAATTTCTTCAGATTTGCCGACTCTCCCGTCCGCAGTCGCTGCATTGCAATTGATTTTTCAATTTCCGTCGCCACGCCCACACCGCTACTAGGTGGCGACACCGCACCACCGCCCACAGAATGCGGCAATACGGTGGTGGCAGTGGTGCTGGAAGTAGAGCGTCTCATCAGAGCAATGGATGTTTTGCGTAAGCCCGACATCTTGAGCTCCTTAGGTTGCTCGCTCCTTCTCCTACTCGTCTCTTAGTCCTGTTGGGAAAAGTATTATGTAAAAAAAAAAAAGAAAAAAGTTGAGAAAGTTGAGCAATCTGCTGCCGGCGGCAAACTAAATTGTGTATTTATGTGCTGTTTCTCATAGCGAGGCGGCAAAAGTTTTTGATGCATTTCCAAGTGGATTGCCCGGGAAAATCAATCAATATATAGTAGAAAAAAAAATATAAAGGCCATTCAATGTTTATTATTCAAAACGAATAACACCTCACTCCTCTCTACCCGACGCACTGAAAGGTGTTTTAGGTTAGAGTGCAAATATTTATGGCATGCCCGGCATATCCAATATTCATTTTAACTTTCAGCAATGACAGCACTTAGTTCGAGTTAGTTGCAAAACAAAACCAAGTAAACAATCGACGATTGTTAGTCCCTTGTCCTCGGTTAGATCTCGGGGGAGCACTTAACTGGGCAAAGGGGGGAGGGATTCCCATTTGTCAGTCAGTGCGTTCCATTTTATGGTTGCTGCCAATAAGCAAGTCGGAGTTTGAGCTTAGCTAGCGTTAAATTGAGCACAACTGCAGGCACTCGCTGGCAAAATGTGAATTCGAATTCAAACAAAGAAAACACAAATTGAAGAGTTATTGAAATAGCACAGCCAAGGGGCCACATCAACCCTGGCCAAGTCGTTTGTTTATTGTACATAAAGCGAAGCCTCATATGTAAGGAAAAAAAAAAAACTTTGCAAAGGAAGCTATAGAACTTGAACATTATTTGATAATGGTTTTAAAAAGTTCTCAATGGGTTAAGAACTTGTGTCAATGCTTGAGTAAATTCATAAGTGACTTCAGAAATTGTGTCAAATGGAAAATGAATGTTGATATAAATCGTATTTGATTTAATAAAACTACAAACGACAAATATTACCTTAAAATTTGCATAAAATTTTATCAATTAAATAATAAATTAACAGCCTTGCACATTTATAGCCCCATTTAAAGAACATTTTTAATACAAAAACTTCTTAAAGTTCTTCATTAAAAGCTCACATTTAAAAACTTATCAACCATAAAAAAGAGATTTCCGAAATACCAACGGTCAAGAAGTCAAATCTTGATGTTGGCAACCTTTTTAGTTTGACAATGGTTTTGGCTTTAACTTTCCGGTTTTCTTCTCGCTTTTCCCTGCGTGGTATACAAACTTTGTTTTCTACCCCAGAAAATCCCAGAAGTTTCAAACTCAAACTCAAATACATACACACACTCGCACATTTAATATGAAGAGCATTTTGCTGCCCCGCAGGCAGAAAAGCTGGCAAGATTGCTCATACGCCGCGTATGCCATCGAACAATGGAAATGGCAATGGCACTTTTGTGGGCCTGCTGCTACCACTGCTGCTGCTTGACTTTTTGTGCGCCTGCTCCCCAAAGGCAATATAATTTAAATGCCGAAAATTTGATGGAACAGAAATCTGCGCACCCAAATCCAGAAAGTTGCCTCAGCTGAGCTGTGCCACCCATTTTTCTCATTTCTTTTTCCTCTTTTTTTTTTTTTTCGTTGGCCTTTATTTCTTATGTACACTCGTGTGCGTGTGTGTATATGTGTGTGTGTGTGGCACAATGGCAGCGGAGCGGCTTATCCTTGCCCTTGTCGCACAAGCGGCGACCTTGAGGCTCTCGAGCGGTAGCAACAACAAAAACAACAAGAACAACCACAACTATATATCTGAGAATACCAGCGCGGTTTTATCGCCCAAGAGGAGGTTATAATGAACTTGAGTGATAATCCTAGCGCCTGCGAGTAATGTAGAAGAAATGTCAAGCAGCCACTTGTCGTTGACTTTTATGGCCATTGTTCCAAAATAGTGGCAATGAGGGGTAAGGAGGGGAGACTTAAGCAGCCCGCATTTTCTTTTCACTCGAATGAATTCGAAATCGAAAGGAATTCTATTAGCATTCAGCTGCTAAATGAGCAAACGGTGGTCGAAAAATCCCGATCGATTATGTCACTGCTCGTCCAAAAGGCAGCTTGGCAAATCACTTGCCCACTGTTTGGCTTTTTGACTTGCCCTTTGAGGTGTGGCCAAAAAGCATATTCAAATTTGATTTCACACAGACGATTGCTTAAGTCCCCAAGTGCAACTAGTTTTGTTGTGTATTTTGGCAAAGTTATCTGGGAAAATATCTCATGGGAAAACTGCACTGTCTTTCATGCAGATAATTGTTATTTCCTGGGAAAACTCAAATTGGAAAAATGTTTTTTAAATTTTTTGCTATATATTTAAGCAAACAACAATTTGTATTTCGTTTGGGAGACTTTTATTATCCTTTTAAGATTTATGCGACCCCTGCGGCCTTTTACAAACTTCAATTACAGACTTGTTTTTCTTTCCTTTTTCCTTTCCTTAATAATTTTCCAATATAATTAAATTGGCCTTTCACGCTAAACGTTGATTTCTTTGACAGTCAACTTGACTGAATGCTTTTCCAAAGTGCAACTAGTTTACCACCTGACACGCCCAAATTGTATTGGGAAAACACTTCAGCTCAGCTCGCGTTTAAACGGAAAAACTCACTTGAATAGTTTGTTTTTATTTTTATTTATTTGGCTTTGGAATAGTTTTCCACGGCCTGCCACGCCAGTTGGTTGAGTTTTCAGTTTGAGTTTCAATCAACTTGTTTGCCGATTTAGTTTTTAGTTTTAATTTATTTGCGGTCTTCGTTTTCCAAAAGAGACTAGAGACTTTCAAGCCCCACCGTTTGTGCACAATTAAAAACAGCTTTGGATGCCTTTTGTTGTTTGGATTTCTATTGTGTGTTGTTTTTTATTTGCCAATTTCCCAGACGTTCACAAGCACTTGAAAAGGCGGGGAGATTCGCCAGCTCTTTTGTCACGCAACGCGAAGTTTGTATGTGGGCTACCACTGGAATCTCAGAGTTAAAACTGAAAAACTTAAAACCAAAAACCGAAAACCGAAAACCGAAACCGAAACCGAGAGCTATATTCGATGTGGAGCTCCCAAGTCTGAGCTGTTGCCTCGTAGACCAACCGCGACGCACTAAACGCGATCGCCGGGCTTCTTAGTCTACTTATACGCTATATACCAAAAACCAAACCAACTGCCGATCGGCAAAGCTAACAATGTGGTTGTTGTTTCTTTTTGGCGCGCTTTTGTTGGCTTTGTCATTTAAGATATTTGTGCTAATTTTGCTACTACTACTAGCTCTTTTTAGGCCAGAAACTAAGTTGGTTTCGGTTAGAAATAACATAATTTTCGAAATGAAATTGAAAGTGCCTAATAATCCTAATCAAAAAGCAAAAGTTTGTGTTAATATATAACGGTTAACTCCCTTGATTGACATTAATGAGGTACCTGACGAGGTTTGGATGGGTGCTTTGAGGGTTATGTAAAAATATAAATAAATTATTATAAAACGCTGCCGGGACTAACGACCCATTGGCTTGGCCAAATTGCACGCAAATCGCTTAATTGAAAAGGCCATAAAGGCTAGTAAAACACTAGTCAGAGGAAATTGGCAGGCAAATTTAGCATGATGGGAGTATTTAACTGGGATAAGGTAGTTAATATGGGTAAACAAAGATGAGGAATTAGTAACATGAAGGTAATATGGCATTTTGTTGATCTAGGATTAGGAAAATTTAAAGATTTTGGGTGATACTTAGGATCTCGAAAGCAGAATCTTACGTTATAAGAACGAAATACTATTAAAATGTCAATTTTTATCTTTAAAAACTTTAATAAAACTATCGACATGTTAAAATGTTCATCAAAACCAAATCATTAGATATTATTTTAAAATTTTTCCATTGTAAAGCTTTCTCCATGTCTGTCCTTTAATTAAATCATAGCTAATTTTTCTATATTTAGCTCACTTTCGCTGGCATATTGTTTATAAAGTTTATGATCTACTTTCAAGAGACCACAACTTAGCCAGCCACTTGCCACACACATTGCAACACATTTTCCGGGCTTACAAATGACAGCTGCATGTGTGCCTGTGGTTTTTCGGATCAGTAAACAGAAAAGAAAACTTTTATGATGGACATGTTAAATAAGATCTTTGGCTGGCCAAGTGCTAACCAAAAAACGGTTGCCCAATCGCAGCCGCTTGCAGGCGGCGGTCAATTAACGTTTGTCTATGAAATTGTAACGAATATTGGGCATTAGTCTCTTTGATTATGCAGTTTAAGCCAAACAACAACGCTAAACTTTTCCGCATGAAAGGTGATCGTTGCGGTTATGCCAGGCGAGCATGACTGGGCCAATTTCCTTCCCGAAGGGAGTCTTGCCAGATGGGACCCACTCCAAGTACATTTTGGCCAACTTTTTTTTTCGTTGAGCAATTGTGCGTGTAATTGTTTGTTGGAAACCAGTTGACCAATGCATCCGATTTCAGCAAGCCAGAGCAAGTCAACCGAAGATTGATGCGATAACAAGCGCAGATTCCTCGGACAGCCTCAAAAAAAAAAAACTATTTACGACCTGTCTCTGAACCTGGGCAACAAATAAAATTAGCTACCTCAGCCCTTTATTTATTTAGTTTTTGGTTTTTGTTAAGGCATTGCGTGCCTGACGTTAATTACGGCCCAAAAACACACATATAACTGGCCAGTGGGTCCCACTCTTTGATGACCTACTTGTTGACGCTCTTTTACTCCCCAAGCACGCAGACTCTGTATCTGTATCTGTATCTGTATCTGACAGATGCCTTTGCCTGTCTGATGGTTACATAACCGGCAAAATAAAACTAATAACAAGTATATACGATAGCTTGTATGCACGGAAATTAGAACCAGAACAACTCACGGAAATGGTAATCATTTTGTATGGCTAGTTCTTGCAGTAGTTCCTCCGTATAGGTAGAGGGAAAACCGTTTGCATAGCCAAGTAATGTGTGAGTAGGTAGGGGAGGTAGACTTTTCCCCATTTCCCTTTGGTCTCGACACGCGCTCAGGTTTTTTTTGTTTTTAATTGTTTGCTCAGCGCTTTGGTCTGCGCCTTAATTGTTTGCTCAAGACTTGGCAGATACGGGCGGAAAATTGGAAGAATGGTTAGGTAGCAAAGGGAAATACGGGAATGGAGATGGGCAAACATTTGTCTGGTCAAGCGATGTGTGGATGGGAAATGGAAATGGAATTCTTAAGCTTCTAGTCTGTGTAACGCTTTCTTCTATCTGTTCTATTTCCTTTTCAGTTTCCTGGATGATTTGGATCGGTTAGGCGCCAAGGATTACCAGCCAACTGAACAGGATATCTTGCGTACTCGCGTCAAGACCACTGGCATCGTTGAGGTACACTTTTCCTTCAAAAATCTCAACTTTAAGTGAGTAGAAATATATGAAATATTGAAAGTTTATATATATATATATAATTATAATTTAAATTTATAGATTGTTTGACGTGGGCGGCCAGCGTTCAGAGCGTAAGAAATGGATACATTGCTTCGAGGATGTTACAGCGATCATTTTCTGCGTGGCCATGTCTGAGTACGATCAGGTCTTGCATGAGGATGAAACCACGGTAAGATTGGGTTAATACTTTATATCTTTAAATATTTTACTTAATAATTTTCTTCTTTATTAAAGAACCGCATGCAAGAGTCGCTGAAACTGTTTGACTCGATCTGTAACAACAAATGGTTCACAGACACCTCGATCATTCTGTTCCTGAACAAGAAGGATCTGTTCGAGGAGAAGATTCGCAAGAGTCCCCTGACAATTTGCTTCCCCGAATACACAGGTGAGTGGTATATCCCCCAACTTAATCAAGATCCTTATTAATGCTTTTTTTTTTTGTGTATTTTATAGGTGGACAGGAGTATGGCGAGGCGGCTGCTTACATTCAGGCTCAATTTGAAGCGAAAAACAAATCAACCTCAAAAGAAATCTACTGCCACATGACGTGTGCCACAGATACCAACAACATTCAGTTTGTATTCGATGCTGTCACCGATGTCATCATAGCAAACAACCTGCGCGGCTGTGGACTGTACTAAGAAGGAGGATTCCATAGCCGGATCCCTATTACAATGATAATGATGATATAATGATGATGATGATAATGTGGAGCAGAAATGGGGGCGTTAGCAGGGAAAACCGTAACGGTATTAAAGAGCAGCGCGGGAGCACAACAACCCACCAGCATTGATCAAAAACCAAACAATTTAAGAGCAGATGATAGAACCAACCAACCGCAACCACACATAGGACACTGAACACTGAACAAGCAAAGCCCAAAGAACTTTTATTTGTTTAACAAAAAAGAAAAGAAGAAAAAAAAAGCCGGCGGATGGAAGGAAATCCCGGATGGATGATATAAGCGACAAGTACATTACATAATATCGATAATATTGATGCAGATAAACATACACACACACACAAACACACGCACACACAATGCTAATAATGATCAGGGCAACAATGATAATGAGGCGGCAGGCAACTGACACTGGAAACACGCGAGAGAAGTCACATTTGATATATATGAAAAAAAGTCAGTTGATTGAAAGGCATTTCCTATATACATACATATACAAAACACATACATATGCATTATGCAAAGCCACATGTACGACATGACACTAACACACACACACACACACACTCATACAAAGCATACACAAGCGCCAGCATTGCATATAGTTGTTGTTTGGTCTGAATAATTTTTATAGAATTTCATAATTTATGTGTAGTTTAGTTTCCTCATGTATTTATTAAACAAAACAAAAAACAAAAACAAAAACCAAACGAGCGTATATCTACATATACCGCATATATATATACATACACTTCTATATATACATATATATAAATATTATATATATTAAATGTTTCCTGTTGCAATCTCTCTTTAAAATTATTCATGCCATCAACGCTCTGCATTTGTCATGCTTGTTTAGACTTAAGTTCGAAAGTTTCAACAAAATCCAGCGGCAAAGGAAATAATAATAATAATATTAATTTGATAGCGTGTCAGCGTGTGGGCTAAAAAGTAAATAATATTATATAACAAATCAAGAAAACCAAAAAAAAAAACATAATGAGGACAAGAAGAAAAAAGAGAAACAAAAAACAAAATACGGAAGGCAAATCTTTAACGTTTAAGTCTAATTTAAAGATAAATGAAAAGGATATAAAACAAACAAAAAAAGAAAAACAAAACTATCTATTGTATTTACAAGAACAAAAAAAAACGAAGCGAAACTAAACTAAATGAAAAACCAGATAAGAGTCAAGTCAAGCAAAGCATATGTGGCCACTTAACTAACTTATGTAAAGAGCAGCATTAGCAGCAGCCATCATCGATGATTGATTGATTGATACATTTCAATGTAAATTGTAATTTGTTGAATTTACGTGTATAGAAGAAGTTTAGCTGGCAAACACACAAAACAAACAAACAAACAAACAAACACGCATACTGGACACAAACTAACTATAATTTAATTCACTTAACGAGCTGATTTGTTGTAATTTACAATGATTTGTGGCATTTATAGCAGGAGGAGCAAGGCAAATCAGCGATGATCAAAACACAATTCAACTTTGGCGGCGCACAAAAGCATGCTATATATTTTTGCCATATCTACGCACACACACACACACATACGAGAACACACAAACAAAAAAAATATGAATCAAAATGAATGGAACGCAGAACTCAAATCTCCCACAATGAAACTAAGGATTGTATGTAATAATATAATAATTTATAAATTCTACTTTTAATGATAAACATCTTCATACATGTACCTATATATGTATGTATGTGACTGTATCTAGCGAATGGCATTTAACCCCCCTGCCCCCCGAAGTATGTTGAATTGTTTGATTAGACTTATTATTATTACAATTATTATGTATATGCTTTGTATGTATGTATTTTGTGCATTTTGATTTTACACAACGATTTAGCTGCAATGAATTTATATTGTTATTTTTATATAGTATTTCTTTTGTATCTGCCCAGTCTTCTCCTCCCCTCTCCTCGATATCCTCCTAACTCCTTTACTGCAAATCTCCTCTACTCTCTTGTGCTCTTGCTCTAGTTGGACGGAAATCCATTTATGTTTTATAGTTTTTAAGCCTAATTTATGTAAACGCACACACAAACACACACACAACTTAAACATCAACTAAGTAAGTTTATTAGCGAAATAAATATTATTTGACATTCAACAAAACATAACAAAAACCTAAGGACAATTTGAACAAAAAAGCTTAACGAAATCGTTTTGATTTTTATTGGCAAAACCCAGCAAAATCCAGTGAATGAAACTTTTCAAAAGTTGTGTTGGCCATAAAATCCGTACAATTCCTAGATTTAAAAACACACAGAATCAGCGAACATTCACTTCTAAGCATTTACTTAGGTCAGCCAACCACACTTTCCCATTTCCATGATCCCCAAAAAAACCACTCCCTCTACTATATCCTGGCCCAACCAAATACTGTAATATTTAATACGTATGTATTTTCCATTCAACTTGTAAAATTCTACCAAAAAGAAAAAAAAAACAAAAACGCAAAAACCATTTTCAAATAAAACTATTTATTCAAAAACAAAAACCAACAGTTATTTTTGTTATTTTCGTTATTGTTTCCCATATATATATATTTTTCTTACAGCCAGTGTTAAAGGTTTTGCATGAAAATAGATTATTAAATTGTTGCTGCTGGCTTCGAATTTTTGGGGTAATCATGATCAGTAATATATATAGTCACTTGACCAGTGTAATGCAGATGATCAAGAACAAAGAGTTCAATATTTGTATGTAACTATAAATAAATACAAAATCTATATATTTATTGACAATTTAATTAAGCCACAAAACAACAACAACAAAGTTATTCATTTACCTTCGAGAAAAAAGTAAACAAGGTCGGTCTATATATATATATATACAGATATATAAATTTAAATACAAAAAAATATATTTAGTAAAGGGAGATCAACAAATTGCTACAAACATACATACATACCATATGTACTATATTTTTCTCGTAAATAATTATTATTAATCGAATACTCATAAACGGTAGCGACTATAATTTACCCCCTCGAATGTCGCTCAACTTTTGAATCAACCGAGATCGCAAAACTAAATAAATAAATAAAAAACAAAAAAGGAAAACAAAACCAGCATTCAAGTAAAATAGCAAACATTCGTTCATATAGTACAGCATTAGTGTTTAACCGCAGTATATCGACTAAACTTTTTGCATATTTTCAATACTATAAAAACGGTAAACGTAGAGTGGAACGGAAATGGAATCAAACATAATTCATATTTTTCTAAAGCTCATACACCTCTTTGCTCCACACACTCACACACACATACAAATACAGACATTCACACACACCCATATAAGTCATAAAAAACGCAAATCGCACCACTACTAAAATTACTTTAATAGCAGTTAAAACATTTATAAGTGAAATCCATAAAAAAAAGAGCTAAACCAAGGTAATGTTAATTAATTCAAATCAAATGTCAAAGGACATTCCAGAACACACGATTTTTTGTAAGTGGCAAAATCTTTTGGGGATTTTAAGAGGAGCTGGTGGAAGATGAGGTACGTGGCACGTGGAACCAAGATTATAGGTTAGACAAAGTTTAGACATCGTATCTAATCTAATTTGTAGCCTAATTCAAAATGCTTTGGTTGTCCCATGCAGCAGATCATATTTGTTTAACTTGTATATGGCAAAAACTATTTATACACTTATTATATAACTTATGTGGAAATATAATTCTCCTCAATTCTTGAGCTCCTTTTCTCTCTCTAATGACCACGTAGAGGACAATGTGTAGCTAATGGCCCATGGAAAAGTTTTAAAATGATATTGAAACGAGCCACAGAATCTAACTATAGCTCGAAAATGATGAATGAATTTGAATCGTTGAATTAAAAATTTAATATAATATATATATATAAAACATAAAAATAATGATATAAAAAAACTGAAATAACAAAACCAAAATGTTTGTATGTAAAAGAAACTCAAAACGTTAGAGATCATCTACAATTTAAATAAATATAAATAAAACCAACATAAGTATGTCGTTTTTTATTTAATCTGTAAGTATTTTGAAGTGTTTAAGGTGTCTTTTAAGAATTTCAATTTATCTAAAAGTTTTTCTTTATCGATAAAAAAAAACCTACCCTTTTTGACTGAAATTTTTGTAGGTATTGCATAAAATTCGTGATTTATTTTTTTCATAAGAAAAACTTCAGATCAGGTAGAGACCAACCATTTTAAGTATTTCCAATCTTATGTGTCCTTTTCTGAGTACAGTCAACCACAGGTAACAATCTGAGATATAGCTGCAGATCAACGCGACATGGCTATAAAAACTACAATTGTTTCCGCAACTGTACAAATTTAGCGGTTGTCCTGCCGTTGTAGCAATAAAAACTCAAAAGAAATGTCTTTGACTCTTCAGACAACATTCTCAATTTACAATTTAACAGCTTGAAAGATCAATATCAACGAAATACAAAATTCTTTAAACCTTGTCTCGAGTTTTATAATGGAAAAGTTAATGAAGAAATCTTGATGGTTATATATTTTATTATAGGATCTATGGGGTAGCCCCAAAATGCTTTAACATTTCAAGAATTCCTCTAAAATAAATTTCTTACGACTAATCTATTGCATTATTCACTGACTACTCTATAAGTTTCTTTTTCGATTTCGGCGTGGATATGGTTCGCAAGGACACCCGTCGTGGAGTCTTATTATTGGGCGTGGATGGTGTCGATACCGCTGCCTTTACAGGGGTTTCTTCCTGCGTATCTTCGTAGACAAGACGGATGTCCTCAGTACGCTCGCAGGTGACTTCGCTGGCTGCGATTACAGTTGGCTTCGATTCCGTCTTCTTTGTTTCCGGTAAAGAATCTTGTGAATCTTTCTTTGTCGTTGGCAGGGGTGTGATGCCCTCCTCGAGGGGCCAGGCATCCATGGCTTCCTCCATTGGCACTACAGGTGAGTTAACAGGCATTTCGATGAGCACGCGGGGAGTGCGCCTCACGGCAATGGGTGTGGCTTGTTTGGCAGGTTGGCTCTTCGGCGTTAGATTAAAATTGCTGGAGCTCCCGGGAGTTCTCGGCTGACGACGCACTTGAATGGGCGTGGCAGGACGAGACTTCTTTTCGGGCGACTCGAACTTCTCTTCGGAACTGATAATCTCCTTGTCGATAATTGGAATAACTGTCGCTGGCTGTGTTGTCTCTGTTGGAGGCACTGCCTCCGTGCTAACCTTTCGCTTTACAGGTGATGTCTTGGTCTCCGTTTTCTCCACTTTAGGTGTTTCAGTGGAGCTGGGCGTACTGTCTCCTTTTGGCTGTGTTTTGATTTCCTGTCCATCTTCAGGCTTACGCGGAGCTCTACGTATAGCAATCGGCATGGGCGCTGCTGATACTTTTCGAGGCGAGCGACGGATGGCAATGGGTGTGGGCTTGACGTCGTTTTTAGATTTCGTTTTCGGACTGTTAGAGTTGGACGAACTAGCGCTGAGCAATGATGAATCGTTTTCAGCATCCAGATCGGGTTCGCCTTCCTCTCTAATCCCTGACTCTGCAGCCTTCCTGTTTGTATTCGGTTTGGTCTTCTCCTGCAGTGGTTTCCTTATGGCCACCACCTCATCCGATGATACCTTGCGTAGCTTAGGCTTTTTCTTCTTCGGCAGCGGCAAATTTTCTGAAGATTTCATAACAGCGCTCAGCAATGCTTCCGTATCCTCATAGCGCTCTCCCAGCTCATTCGCTTCGAAGGTCAACAACGAGCAGAAACCATCGGTACTGGAAACAATCAGAACAGTGCCATCACTTGACCAGGTCAGATCCGTAAGCCTGGTGTAGTGGATGTTTGAGACAATGGCAAACGGCACTGGTTGCTGGGTGTCGTAGAAGAACACAGAATTCTTTGTGGCAACGGCATAGATCATGCGGTAAGGCAGCGTGATGATTGGTGGGTTCTTTTCCTCATTGTACGGTCTCAGACGGTACAGAACTGGAGAACAGCGAACAGCCACCGCGTATTCGTTTGGGAAGGGCAGCACAAACGCGGGTTTTGATAGATCATAGCGACTGAATCCGTAGGTGGTGTTTATAGGCTTCACCACGCCATCATAATCCGTAATTCCCGCCGGCGTAATTAACAGCTTTCCATCGGGAGTAAAGCACAAACGGCGGAAAAAGGTCTGCAAGGTGCCATCGTGGTACAGTCGTATGTTCTTGCCGTGCATCTCGTGGCCCTCTTTCACTGGAAATCCACACTTTCCCACTCGGTGGAGAACTTTCTTGGTATTGGCATCAAAAATACGCATTTGCCTGAAAGAAATTTAAGATTTTTAGGTAAAGTCTGATCTAATACATGATCTGACTGTACTCCATACCTGTCGGTGCTCATGGTGGCGATATACTGATTGCAGGGATCCCAGGCCACGCCCTGCACATAGCCTTTGTGGTCATCGAGAATTGCCATTGATTTACCTTTGTGAACATCCCACAGCATCGCTGTGTTGTCAACAGATCCAGTGACAAGAAACTGAGAGTTGGGCGCCCAACTGAGGTCGTAGATATCCTCACGATGTCCTCGCAAGACCTTCAAGGTCGTCCAGACCTCTTTGTCCTGTTCACTGCATCCATCGGCGTCCACTATGTTGATAACTTCATGATCGGCCTTTTGTTTCCAAATGAAGACAACACTCTCGTCATCACCGGAGGCTAGCAGCTCCCCATTTGGAGACCACCGAACTGTATTGACGGCACGTTGATGGCGGGACAAATCGACGGCTAGTTCCAAGTCCACACCCTCAGCATCATCACTGCGATTCACATACCAAATGAGTACATGGGCATCTGTACCACCGGAGGCAAGACGACAGATCGCCGGCGAACGCAATCCCAGTCCATTCAGCTGTATATCCACGCTCAGGACGGGATCGCGGTTGTGCCACGAGATTTCGGGTATCTTGCACTTCATCTTGTTTACTTAATTGGCCACTGTTGACTGCTTGAAGTGCGAAAAATTATTTTATGCGGTAGATTTCGCGCCTAAAAGTGTGACCATCGTTCGGCAAAATACCAAAACGCGATATTATCGATTGTTGTTATCGATTAGCAACAGTTATTCGATGCCAGGGCTGCACTATCGCACTGAAAATGGTAAACAAAAGTTGTTAATTCCGATTTCTCCGCGTTTAAACTTATATTATTGTTCAATTTACAGTCTGTAACACTACACACTGACGTGGGTGACCTTAAAATAGAGCTCTTCTGCGATGCCTGTCCCAAGGCCTGCGAAAACTTCCTAGCCCTGTGCGCCAGTGATTATTACAGCGGCTGCGTCTTTATCCGGAACATAAAAGGATTTATTGTCCAAACTGGGGATCCTACCAATACCGGGAAGAATGGACAGTCCATTTGGGGCCAGAAATTCGATGACGAGTTCAAGGAAACAGTGAAGGTGAGCGGGCTGTCAAGATTTCACAGGCAAATTCCTTAGTGTGGCCACGCCGGTTGTCTTCGGTACCTTATGTGCTTAGATTCATGGGTATACCGTATTTTAAAATGTTCTAGCACACCGACAGAGGAATGGTTTCGATGGCCAACAACGGACCCAATGCCAATGCCAGCCAGTTTTTCATCACCTATGCTGCCCAGCCAAATCTTGATCTGAAGTACACACTCTTCGGAAGAGTCATAGATGGATTTGATGCCCTGGACGAACTGGAGAAGCTGCCCGTCAATCCCAAGAACTACCGTCCTCATGTGGACAAGAAGATCAATGGAGTGACCATACATGCCAATCCCCTGGCCGCGTGATAAATAATAACACATATTTTCAAAATGTACGCTTAAAATGAAATATATTTATAGCACTTAAGTTTACACGATTTCTTCGATTACAAACTAATTGATTGAGAAACATCAAATATTGTGCAAAAGTACCTAACGACTAAATCTTAAAATCAGCCAAGTCACAATTGTTTATAAAAAATTGCATTGTTTTATGTATGTATAACTCTCTCGACGACTTTTGCACTTCATTTGGAACTTACACTAGACGGATGTATATAAGATGTGTTTAAAACGATCAACTAGAAGGGATAAAACAAATGCTAACAAGAATCTCGACTACACGGACTAAGTGGATTATGTGGATACGCCGTTTGTGAGTTTTTTGGCGGGCTTCGGATGGTCCTTCATGTGCTGCTCGAACATGCTGCGAATATCAGATAGTGCCTGCGAGATGTTCTCGGAGAAGCGATGCACATCCTGCAAACGAAACAAAATTAGATATATTCCATTTCATCTATGGTTACTTCTTACTGTTTGCTGGCACGTCGTCTTCGCTGAGATATGGAAGAATATCAGGTTCTCTCCGGCAATGATGTAAGACACACCATAACCATCATCGGCCACGGGCCCAAAGCCTCCGCCAGCACTGATGCAGTTGGGATGCTTCTTCAGGTCCATCTTCGGCGTCTGGCCGTGAGGAGTCTGACTAGTAGACAGGCGCCAGGGTTCACTGAGAACCTCGTTGAGGAAGGGAGAGTCTACCTCCAGGTACTTGGAAACAACATACAGACAGAACAGATGTCTGTCAATTCCACGGCCGCACATGGCATCCTGATAACCCAACTGGTGGCGATCGCAGGCATCCTGCATCATCTTCACGCGCTCATCATTCTGTTTAGGAAGAAGCTATAGATTAGATTGCCAATCGACTTGTTATATTCACTTCTTACCGTTGTATTGGGATTCTGCATGGCTTTGACCCAAGCAGATGACTCAATGGTGCAGGGGCGGACTGTCTCAGTTCTTCCTTCGCGGAAAAGACGAGTCATGGAAGCCTCGTAGGTCAGCGAAAAACGACCGGCATCCCGATAGTAGGCCAACTGCAGGGCCATTTGGATATAGGCATCTGGAGAGATGCGACACTTCTTCATGAAGCCCTTGCCGTACTCCTGATGCACCAGAATGCGTAGGTTCACCTCATTGATTAGCTTAGTCACATCGACAGTGGCCTCTTCAATTTGCGGCAGGCAAGGCTTCAGATCCCAGGTGAGCCTGGTAGGTGTGGGTGGCTGGAATTCGGGTATGCCCTTGGTGTTACCAGATTCATCATATCTATAGGGTTATCAGGAAATAGGTTAGCATTGAGGATGATATTTTGCGGGAAATATATTGTAAGCAACGAAAATCAAAGTCTTGTTAATTTTGTGTAATAGTTTGTTAGTCACGAAAACCAAATAAATGAAGTATTTGCCTTTTGGGTTGATAAATATTTAAAAATACAGTAAATAAAGAAAAGTAAGGGTGCCAATTTGTGAATCAAAAAAAATTAAAAATTAAGTAAATGTTTGACGTTATTCAAAGATTTAACTTTTTTAAGTTAGAATATTCCCTTTATAGGTCAAAATACATTACTGAACTTTGTTATATTTTTGAAGATCCCTTGGTACAAATATTTACTGTATCATAAAGCTTTTAACGAGTCTCTCGAGCTCAACCCAAAATGACTTAAATTGCTTTGCTTTGCATTGTGCTTGTGTGCTTTGGAATTAAGTGTTTACCCATAAATATCATCACCAAATATATACTCCCATAGATGTCCCAAAACCGGTGCATCGGCCCTATAAAGAAGGTGTAAAATCAATTGTTAGACCACAACCGGGGTTAATAAAAAATTATAATTAAATTAAAAGGACATGTGGGGTGATAACTGAAAAAACTGATAACTGAACGCAGCCAAACCAAAACCGAAAAATTGCATCCGGACATAGGAATCGAAAGTCATTACCCGTCCGATACAAGATCGTCGACGATCAGGTTCTCCCACATGTGTGAGGCGATGGCGGCGTCGGACCTTTTGGATTGTGATTTTACAAATCGGTTCGGATAGTTAAAATTATTTTAAGTCGAAGAAATTATTTTTGGGGTCTGAAAGGAAATATTGGGTATAGCGATTGGAATCCACTTACCATGTGTGCTCGGCATTGAAGCCAACACGTCCATTGGTGCCCACACAGACGGTGAAACACTTGTCGAACCACCTGTTGTAGCCATTGCCATGGAGCAGCTTTTTGCCAAAGTTATCCAGTAGTTCCGGACGAGCCAGATCGAACTCGAAGGGCTCATCATCCAGGGAAAGCACAAAGGCAGCAGACTCAATGGTTCGCAGGGAGATGTGATTAGCTCCCCTTGAGAAGAACGTGTTGCGGGCCTCAGCCCACTTGGAACGATTCCAGGCGGTCAAAGCAGCCAAGTGCTCCTCACCTTCCACGGGTGCGGATTTTCCCTTCAAGATTTCCTCAATTTGCCTGCAAAATAGAATATTATATAATAATGTTTGATTATTATTCCTCACGATGTGGGACTTACACTTGCAACTCGCAAGGACGCAGAATGCGACCCTTGTAGTAGATGGGCATCTTGTAGTAGCATCCCTTGTGCAGTACAACAATGTGATTGGAGTCCCTGTAGTGGATAATACGGTCGGTTTCCAGGCCAGGCACACGAGCCGTGTTGAAGGTACGTTCATATTGCCAAGAGCACAGGGGAATCATGCCCTGAACCATGATCTGAAAAAATTAATAGTTTACAAAAATTAGTTACTTTAAATTTGCAAAGAAAATCCCATAAATTTATAAAACTTTTATGTCTTTTTGAGTTATAGTAAAGAAACCAACAAACAAATATAATAAACATTTCACAAATGCCTCCATTAAGGCGTTAAGAACCCCATGAAATCGTTGTTTATCTGCCGTAACTGCCGTTTTACTATCTAGTAGAACTTTTTTTCAACTTGAGGTCAGCTATTTTTGAACAAATAACTTAATTTCTAATACAATATCATTAGACTTACAGGCTGCAGTTCCTGGTGCTCGATCAGACGACGGAAGTTAAGTAGCAGGGAAATCACATTGGCAGCTCGAGCTGCCTGTTTATCGGTAAGGTTCATGAAGATTGCATCCGTTCCATAGAAATTGCTGTTCACACAGAGGGGACTGCGACCACGCAGATACACGTACTCCTCCCACCAATCCGACACATAGTTCGTGGACCACCAGCTCTTGAGGATCAGATACCACTGCAGTTTCTTTCCGATTGTCTGTTCGAATTCCTTGGCCAGTCGCTCCATGCGCGTGTAGTTATCATCATCCAGCAAAGGACGCACACTTCTCAGGTACCTGGTCATCGTATCACTAACAGAGGGCAATGGCAATCTGGGAAGAGATCCCTGGAAGCTGTACAAGCCTGGTTTGTTCCAACTGGAGAGAACCCGCACTACCGCTACCCACAACATGGTTGGCAGTGAGACACGACTCCCAGGCGCTCTTGACTCGTACATCCATCCTTTGTACATGAGAAGCAACTTCAAAGTGTATCTCATAGTAAAGCAAATTGATAGCCAGATCACCAAAGCGGCCAAAAAGCAAGCAGAAATTTGCCAATTTATTGTGTTGGATGGCAGGTGAACCAATATCCTGTTGGTTAGATTAAATGGAGCCTGGTAGCCCGCAAAATGTAGACCCAGCGCTATGGCTGAGATAAGCCAAAGGCTTTGGATGTGCGCCGGATAGACGCCATTGCGAATGCCGTTCTAAAAGATAATTGTAATTTAATCAGTTTATATGAAAATGAAATGAAATTATAGTTAGAAGCTTACCCTTGCGCGTCCTAAACGCTTTTTCCAGGACCGTACTCCCGAATTCCACACCAAATTGAGCACTTCATGGTCATAGTTGATGTCGAAGCCCTCGTGGGTGATGGCAAACGAGAATGCCACGGCGGCATGGGCTTCAGCCATACCTGTAGGCTACTAATGATATCCCACGTACAATAAAAATGCTGTGAAAGACAGATAATGAGTACAGATTAGCAATAGAATTTATGGGCTATACATATTTTCAAAAATTATATTATTTAAAGGGTGTTTAGCTATGTGTATATCTGTACTAGATACTTTAAGAACACAGACTAATTGCAAAACTGATTTTATTCCACAGACAAGGTGAACGCCCACCAGAAACCCCAAATTTCAATCCTGATAACTCGCTTCTTTGTGGTCTAGATGGTTTGTAATAAACATTCTCTGATAAGATGCAATAAATATAACCAGACATGCGAAGCATATGATTCATAAAAATAATACAATATCTTGGTCATTTTGCCACTTGCTATCGGACTAAATGCGTTTTAGATTGTAGATACTTCACATTTTGTATCTCCGTTTTAGTAAGTGTTTTGTTTAGAGCAATATCAAGTCCAAAGTTCAACGAAATATTGCACGCTTTTGATTCGTTATATATACGTATATAAATTAATTAGCAAACACGCTTCATATACAGATGCGATGTCATAACATTTTACATGCAATTGATGATTGACGTCACTGAGCGCGGTTTTTTATTCAGCTGGGGTTATCATCGCCGGTACATAACGATAGAGCCTGTCTGTGATTCTAGGTCTAGGCAGCAGCAGCTGGCGGTCATTTCTAGAATCAGCTTCTAGTAGCAAAGGGAAATATACGAGCATAAAACAAAGACAAAGTTCACATTTTTTCTTTTCTCTCTGGATTGATGATTATTCTGCTCTCCCAAGCAATTGCAATTTTATACCTTCACTTCCATCTCCTTTGCAATTAAATTGCACAACTTTTCAATAGGTATGGCGATTCGTTTGAGTGGCTACTTAACGCTTATACTCAGCTTTGAAACTCTGCATGCATAGATACATATGTATATATTCATATACCTATCATCTATTTATAAAATTTCCTCAGATAGCAAGCTCAAAATGACACTTCCAGTTTTAACTTTCAGACCAGATAAACCTTGATACACCTTGGTGAAGGTCAGTGCATCCGATTGGATATCTATTGTCCAAAACATATCAATAAACCAGAAAGACCACAAAGCTCCAAACTCGAAATAGCCACAACAAGAGATACGATACGAATTCATTTTCGTTTGACCCAGTTTGAGGAGACGACTATGCGGCGTATGCTTAATAATTTGAGCACCGACCACCAACTACCGGCTTTTATTTGTTTGCGTATCAACGAACAAAAAACAAGCAACAATAACAAATAACCGCAGCATAGGAAAAATAAATAACAGAAATAACAATATATGCGCGATTTGTTGTCTTTTTTTATAAGATCTTTTTTCTGCTGGGCACGAGGCGGAGCAAAGTCCACGAATTATTTTTTTCACATTCTGCGCGGTCTCAGCGATCTCTTCCTATCTACACCGTTAATTATATTGCATAAAATTTAAATTGTTGTTATTTTCTAGTTCGAGTGGGCCCGACCTTGTCGGGTTGATTGTGTTGTGAGGGAGGCGGGTCCAATGCCGGGTTTTATGTAACCACTAAAAAGTTCCCCCCTACTACACCTACCTACTGATAACGTTTATAATAGATTTTTCAACTATCAAAAAAAAACATGTGCCAGAATTTGGGTCACTCAAAGTGAAAAGTGAGATAAAGACAAGAAGGGGGTAAAAGATCAGCAAAGGGAGGGAAAACCTACACGTAAGCCGCAGAAATGCAACCTTTGCGGAAAAGTATTGCTTTTATTTTCGCGTTGTTTACGCTTTTCCGACCTTCAGTTCTCGGGTTAAGAAATAAATAAATAACAAAAAGACACAAACAAACCTTCTTAACGAATTCAAATAATTCGATTTAAAACTATTTCCTCTATCGCGCTGTATTTAATTGCACTTCGATGTGTGTGAATGTGTTTATTTATAAACGTTTGCGGGGGGAAAATTGACAATTGCAAAATCCTAGGCAAGATGCACACACGAGAAAATCCACACTGTGGCTGTATATATTTCGGATCCCCGTCTTTATAAAGCGACTTGATCGGTTAGACGCCGAGCGTTGACTGAATCGACTGTGAGCACAACGGGTTCGCTTGGGTCTTAAAAGCACTCGGAGCGGGGCACACAGATATATATATATATGTATACGTATATATTATAGCCGATGTGCTTTTCTGGCGTGTATGATGCGTCACAAGTCGAGGGGCTCGTTGCTTTGCGAGTGTGGAAAAGTGGAAAGGGTGCCATTGTGGAGTGTGTTGACCGGCGATATTCCGGGAAAAGTTTCTCTCTTCAGATCGATAGGGCCCCACTATCTCATGGCGAAATGGATATCTGATTGGGCCCTAATAAATACCTACATATATGATAGGTGTACTCATCATCTGAAGGGGTATATACTCAGTTGGTCTTGTCAATATCTCTTTAAAATTTTGTTTTTAACTTGGCTAGACGAATTTCGTGGAAATAAGTTGCATTATCAGTGCAGAAGGTAAGCTTTAACAGCCATTTTTGGAAATCAATATTTTTGTTTGGTAATTTAAAAACTCTAACTTATTTACACCATAAATTTATTCATGAATATTTTCAAGAAAATTTATCCTCTTAGAACTCTTTTTTACTTCATAAAAAGTAACAATCCTTTTATTAAAAATCAACATATGTATGTACATTTAATTCCACTTCTAGATAAGATATTCTAAAAAGTCTAAAGTGCATGATAAATTAAGAGAGTATATTAGAGATAACTTTTTTTAGTAATATTCAGCTGTGTTTCACCCACTTATTGCTTATCCCATATATCTTTAACAGAGCTATAAAAATAGCATAAATAACGTGCAGCCGGCACGATTTCGTAATATCAGAATTTGGTATCATAAAGATAAGGCTTTAAATTCGGCAATTCGGACTTTGACCTTTTCACAGATGGGAGCTCCAAGTGTTTAGGTAAGCAACTTCAAAACTGAGGATCTGCTCTTCACCCCAGCTCTTAATGCGGTTACATGGAAAATTAACTTGTTTTCATAATAAACAGCTGAAAAAACAAGTCTTATATGATTAGATTTTATAAGCAAAGAAGAAAAATATAACTGACCAACAAACAGGCAAGATAAGAAACAATTGAAACACGTCGATAAAAGACCTATCGCCCACTATTTATAGTTGAAAGTCCAATAATCACTGTGGCGGGGGGGCCTGTGAGAAATTTAGTAGTACGCAATTTCGGCCGAAAACGGATTGATGATAACATTTTTGCCCGAGCACGCGGTTCCGATAAGGAAGGTAAGTGCTGTCAGAATATAACCTAGAGCAATCGGTGACGCGCTGAAAGTGTCTACCTGGCATATATAACAACACCAGCTTATCGCCCGGCTGTGATCTTAGTACTACCAAAGAAAGTCTGCGAAGATTGGAGAGTTTCAATTGTTGAAATCCCCAACCGAGATGGTTCTGCATATGTAGTCGTGGTTGGTATCTGTATCTTGAATTTGGACTTTGAACCGCAGCAAACTTGAAATGTGCGACGGCTACTGCCAACGCCAACGAAAAAAAAAAAAACAACCAAGGCAGCGACGCATGTCTAACGAGGTGGTGGGCCTCCTCGAGGAGGGCAGAGTCTTGAGGAGGGGCGGCACACAAACGCTGGGAACCAGTTGTGCTTGGGACCACCTCGCATATCATTCACAGCTGCCGTAGCCAGCGAGACGAAAATGCATAAAAACAAGTAGCGTATCTCTAAGATACTCGACTTAGAGATACCCGCTACTTTAGATTTCGGTATATAACATGTTCTTGTAGTCGGGGATTTTTTAGGGTTAGTTCTTTTGATTCAATAGCACTTTTAGATAACCATTTTTGAAGTATCTATGCACTTAAAAACGTAACTAACTTTCAGTTGAGGATGGTCGTTAAGGGCGTGCATAACACGCATTACAAAGTATTTCAACTTGATGAGCAATTTAATAAAAAAATTTAGGCAATTATCACTTTTAGTTTACGATTAGAGCCAGAAATCGTTGGTTGTGTAATCCTATTAAAACTGAAACTTTTTTAAGTTACACAGATTTCGTTTAAGATAATAGTTAATAAATTTAATTATTTTTGGTTCAATCTAAAAACAAAATCCCTATCTTTAAGCTATACGGTACATTTTAAAACATTTAAAAGACCTAAGCCAAAACCTTTCACTTTTTAAAATCTATATACCCTTAAACTATACAACTACCGGGTATGAAAACAAAACACTCAATGGAGGAGGTCAATAGTTAATGGTTTCGCTACTTTCCATAGTAGTTAGCATTTCGAATCTGGGTTTATTATATTGACTATTTGTTGTTACTGTTGTATTATGTTGGCTAAGCTTTTCTTAGGCATTTTCCCTTCAAAAATGGAGTAAGAGGGAGGTTTAAAGAGAGAAGAGAGCGCTCCACCTGCCTGCTTTAGTGTGTGGGTGTCTGTTTTGTATTTGTTTTACAGATGTTTACCAGAAAAGCTCTCTCAGTATCTTTTATTTTACTTCTCCTCCCACTCAAGACGAAGAAGAAGAGAGAGAGAGAGAGGGAGAGAGCAAGTGTGAGACTAAGAGACAGAGAGTATGCCCCGTTAAGCCTCTCCGAAAACTTGTTTCGGACTTTGAACCGCTTCCATTAAAGCGTGTTTTGAAAAACACAAGACAACAAATACAAATGTATGCGTAACATCATAAAAAATTAAAACAAACAAACAACAACAAGGCAGCTAGAGAGACTAGTCGAGTGTTTTGTAATAAATACATTACTATTTGTTTTTAGTTTCCATTTCGGGCAACAAGTTTTTTTTTATAAGATTTGTGACCTAATTATTTCCGAACAGGTTGGAGCTATAGCTTTTTTGGGACGGGCGGCATTCGGAAAAGGGGGCGGGGCAATGAGTGTAGGCATGTTTCTGGGGCAACGGAATTTTCACAGAGCATTTTCCCAACGACTTACTTTCTGGAAAATGTAATTAATCCTGGTTAAATGCAGTTTGCTATTGTAAATGAAAATGCAAAACAGGCGGAAAAATAGCACACAACAAGAATAACACAAAATGAAGGATGACAACAACGACGACGACGACAGACGATGGAACAGCGAAAAAAGCAAAGACGCGCGCGCAATGTTGTAAGCGTTGCGGTGGCGAAAGAGCGACTAAAACTGCGTCTGAGAAGCAAACAGCAAAACGGAAGCAGCGGGCCAAAGAAGAGCAGCAGCAAATCCACCATATGATCGGAGCAGCAACAACAGCGGTCCAGTGGTGGTGGCCAAACCACTTTCAAAAGGGTTAAGCTTTCACAAACACATGTACTTAGTTATGATTGCATCAAATTGGAAAGGTTTTAAAGTTACGCAAACTTTAGTTTTCATAAAAATTATTATTTTTTATTTATAAAGATATTTATGTTTTAAGTATTGCTTGATTTCTGTTTATAGGTACACCATTTTCCATTATAGTGATAATTTAGCAAGTGTGTAATTAATGTCTTATCATGCCATAATTATCTTTGCAATTTATAGCTTAAATTGTTAAATATTTCGGAGATTAATTGTGATTTATGTATGTATACAGATTACGTATTAAATCCTTTGACAACTTCTTAAAGTTTATTCTCATTAGGCACGTTCCTAAAAAGTTAGGTTTATTATGGGTAATATAATCAAATTATCTGCAACGTCAACTAAAAGTTTGCCTTACAAATTAACAACTAATTTGAATCTTACAATTACAAACTGGATATTCATTACGGAAACCAACAATGCATTATAAAATGCAATGAAAAATAGCAATAGCTTTCTGTTCAATGAATGAGATATATATCAATATATTTACCAAATATAAATGCTTTTTTGAATGGAACTCTTTCAGTTTAATTAAGGTCTTAAAAAATGTCTGTTAGCCTAAGTACGATGTCCACTACTCAGTAAGAGGAGTAGCCTGCTCCTCCTGCTGATCCTTCTCCTTGTTGGACAGACCTCGTATACTAACATCGTAGACGACCTCCTCAATCTTCTTAACATCATATTTTAAGGCATCAAAGCGTTTCCTCAAACCATCATTCTTTAGATTTAACAGACGAAATCCTGTATTAAGATCTCCAATAAAGTGCGAGATATTTAGAGGACGTTCATAGTCGCCCATGGTCACAGAATTGGTTGCAAATCTAGAGAGTTCCGAGGCCAATTGTAGGATGCCCAGCAAATAGTCCTCAACATCCAAGTGGAAACCCTCAGACTGACTGGTTTTTACTATGTGTAAGAAATTTTTTATTATTTGGACTAGTTCTCAAAGGAATTTAACTTACATCCCAACATTTCGGCCACTGTCTCGCGGGTAACCAAAAAACCCGCCTCCAGATAAATAACCAAGGCAATGAGAAAGATCAAACGCTGTGTGATATAAGTCCAATGATCTGAGTATCTGCAGAGGGTATAGCATTAGACACCCACTATAAAAAGAGCGAGATTTCACCATGTGACTCACCTATAGTATTGTCCAGCTGGCACCAAGTTGGCCAACTTTTGGTACTTTTCGGCACAGGCTTCGATCTGTTTACGGGCCAAACCACAGGCGTCACTAACTGTAATTCAAGGAAAAGATATTAACCATATAGTAAAAAAAACCATCTAATTTACTAAAATATTTAATAATAGACTTACCCTGACTCAAATCACTGTGTATAATCTGCAGTTTAATCTGGGCTTCCTTCGCCAAATGCTCGATTTCGCGCACAACAATGCGGATGTTCTAAAGATTTAATAGTGTTAGAGCCCATTTTAACATTATTTCAAGATTTACTAACCTCCCTGAGTTCCTGCTCATTGTCTATGTACTTTTGGTAATTCGAAAAGATATCCAAATTCACAAAGTTCGACATTTTTGATAAATAATTTAGTTTCTTCTGCTTGTTTATGCCGGCGATTGAGATGCGAGTTTAGACAAGCAATAAACATTGAAATACTATCGATATTTCTTCACTTGTTATCGCTTGGCCCTAAAAAGTGTTGGCTAACGTATACAGTTTTATTAATTTTGTTTAGTCAATCAAGTTCCAATTAGAATCGAAATAGGCTCGTGACAAAATGTCGTATGTAAGTGGTTACAGGCTTAATAAAGTGTAATAAATGGATTAATTATTAACTATCTACAGGGACAAGGCTATAATCCATATGCCCAGCCCGCCGGTGGCTATGCCCCGCCACCTGGAGCATTTCCGCCGCAAAATGCCCAGGTTTCTCCACAGGCACAGCAATGGTTTGCTATGGTGGATCGCGATCGATCTGGAAAGATCAACGCCTCCGAGTTGCAGGCCGCTTTGGTAAATGGGCGTGGCGATCACTTCTCGGATAATGCCTGCAAGCTGATGATAAGTAAGCGAAAGTCCTGTAGGAATTCCTGGAAAAATTCCCATAGTTCCCCCCATCCAGGAACTGTGACGTCAGTAGTTGACTTCCGTGGTGTACATACATTCATACAGTAGAACTTCCATAAACCAAAATTTTCAATTCTAAGGCATTGTTTACGGAAAATTTGTGAGTCATGGAAGTTCCGCTGTATTTAAAGCAATAGTCTCCCCTTAATCTGGGGCACATGCATATTTGTTTTGAAAACCTGGAGCGCCAGACACTATATCTCATTTGTTTACCCTAAGATTTATGTTGTATTTTATCGCATTTTTTTATTTAATTTACTCAACAGGCATGTTCGACAATGATGCCAGCGGAACTATTGATGTTTATGAGTTCGAGAAGCTCTACAATTATATCAATCAATGGCTGGTAAGGTTTTTATAGCATTTAACTAAGTATTCCGACTTAATTGGGGGTCTCACTTTTTCAGCAAGTCTTCAAGACCTACGACCAGGACGCCTCTGGACATATTGAAGAGCAGGAATTAACACAAGGTTCGTATAAAAATGGAAATCCTCATTGAGAAATTAAACTCTCTAAGCTAAGAAATGCCGAACCTCTTTAAAGTGACCCGATTTGAGTCTTAAATCCTTGAATTTTTAATAGTATGTCTATAAAAATCAATGTGAAGAATATGACTCACGATTGATTTTCAAAAAGCAAACAATAGATAAATACAATATTTTGTGCGCCCTTAAATGAGTCAACTTCGTTATAGAAAAATAGTATTTTATGATAAAAAATCTGATAAAATGAGCCTAACCAAAATAATTATAAACATAAGGATGAGAATGATCGACTAAAAATAAACTTATACTGATTAAGAAAATAATTTTCCATGATGATTAATAGTCTGTATAAATGATAAGAATCTTTTACTTCATAAATATTTTTAAAGATAAAATTTATTTGTATGTATGTACTAATGTACATATGAATGTATTTTTTTGGTTTAATTTTTAAATATATACTTCGACTTGAAACTAATTATTACCTATTCCAACAGCCTTCACCCAGATGGGCTTCCGCTTCACTCCCGAGTTCATTAATTTTCTGGTGAAGAAGAGCGACCCCCAGAGCCACAAGGAAGTATCAGTGGACCAGTTCATAGTGCTCTGCGTGCAGGTTCAGCGCTTCACGGAGGCCTTCAGGCAGCGAGACACCCAGCAGAATGGAACCATTACCATTGGCTTTGAGGATTTCCTGACCGTGGCCATTGGCTGCTCGTACTGAAAAAATATTAGTCAAGGCAACGAATCTAAGGGAATCAACATTCACACTCTTGCACACAGACTACAATCAACAGAGGATGATCACTAATTCCACTGATGAGGCATTTTCTTAAAAATTTCAACGGTGTTTGTTATCTTTTTTTTTAATATGTAAATGCATTATTCACTCCACAGTCATATTGCAATCTCTCCTGGTATCAGAATCAAATTTCAAAAGTATTTGTTATCGCAGTCCGACTCAATCATAGTACAAAAAGTCTCTTGCGCCTAATAATAAACTATACTCGTGTATTTTTAAAAGTTAATACGTAATTGTGTTTTATTTAAAATGTAAACATTGTATATGAAAAGTTCATTATAAAATCATGTCTTATGTTTAGCAGTCACACTGCCCCACAGTTCGTAATCGTGTCTTCGCTTAGATCGTTTCGAAGATCACATTGATATACAATTAGGAATTATAAACTTATTTAGAATACAATCATAAAATCTTGGGCGATTCAATGTGACGGCACAAAAGCTTAATGCTAAAAATACAAACATTAATATCAGATAAAACATTTAGGCATAATATATGTGTTTGGTTTTTGGTTTGGGAATCGTATATGATCTTCCAATTTCTTTTTGGTCATAGGTATATAATTTTTAAGATACAAAAAACTCAGTCTTAAAAAGTCCATAAATATATATAAATGAAACGAATGTCTTCAGGGCAAGGAATAGTCATTTTCCAAAACTTAAGGGAAATGGTATTTTTCAAAATTAATATCTCTTCTAAACTATATATCAGTCATTAGAGTATCAGTGTAAATGGCATCGATTGAGCTTATCGAGTATGTTAGTTACCAAAAGGTCATGTCTTAGGAGCTTGGTTCTAGCCAAGTTTAGAGATCGTTGGATGGCAGAAGGATTTCAGTTTGGGCAAGATGCTGGAAACTTTTTGGAAATACGCACTTGGGCAAGCCCTAATAGAATACTTTTTTCTTGGACAGCAGCATTATGCGTTTAATATCTTAATTAGTAGTGGCCTTATGAAAAATTATTTAAGTGTTGCTTAATAAGTTTTTGCACACAATTTGCAACTATAAAATTGATTGTTTTTTGTGATTATTTGATTTTTTTTTTTACAATTTTAAAGTTAATAACTAATGCTTGAGCGTATGAACGCATCGTTAGAAAAAAGGCCTTAGAACTACTTTGATTATTTGCTTGATTAGATTGGTTTTCATTTGTTTAGATTACATAAAATAAATTATAAGTAAACATTAAATATTTGGGATGACACACATGAATGACAAGAAATAATAATCGCAAAATGGTCAAATTCATCAGTTGAAAAAATTTTATAATTAAATGGAAGCATCACTCCGGTCCCCATACAATATTATTTGGTATCAAGCTGGGAGCACTCTCCCTTCACATTGAAGTCGATGATCAGTTTGCCCTGCTGCGAATCGTCGGACATGGAGCCGCTCATTCCATTATCGCATTTCATCGAATACTTGGAACGCCTTTTGCTGGGCAACTGGGGCAGATCGGTATGATGTTTCCTCACATGGACACCCAGATTTCCGCGCTGCTTCGACTTGTATGGGCAGTAGGGGCACTGATGCGATGGCTCCTTGCCACCGCATTCGACATTCTCATGGCGACGCAATGTGGACTTCCAGCGATACTTTTTGCCACAATGACGACACTCGTATACCGGCTCCCCATCCAATGCAATGCCATTGGGACTGGTGGTGCTACCATTACTGCTGCTGCCACCGTAATCGCTCAGAGTGAACTCTAAATTGCGGAAGGCTTGATGGGCATCAAGAATCGAATTGGCTGATCCACCATGTGCATTAGCATTAAACATGCCCAAGCCGGAAGAATTGCCAAACTTGCCACCATTTTGCTCCATCAAATGAATGTCATCGAAGGCATGATAACGTCCCTCATCCTCGTCCTCGGTCGAATAGCCAGGTTCATTTTCGCACTCTGAATGGCGGAGATCACGCTCTTGCTGCTTTCTCAAGAGGTTCTCCAAAATCTTCGTTGGTGTAATATCGCTCACAGTAACTCCGGCATCGTTCTCCTCCTTGATGCGACGATGTGGAGTCTGTTGACGCAGTATCTCCTGGGCACGCAATTGCTGCTGGAAGCTATGCAGGCCATTACGCATTAGGGCCTCGGCAATTACAGCTGCCTGGGGTTTCGGAGTCATGGCAGCCGAACTATTAGCCACCAGTACTGATGTTGGTATAGCCTTAACAGCGCCCAGTGGTTCCATGGGCGATGATGACGCCGCTGTCTTCAGAGTGAATTGGGGCCTTGGATGAAATGAAGCGGCGGCGCCAGCGGCAGCACCCACCACTTGTGTTATTGTGGTGTTCTGAGCCCGCATCATTTCATCAGCATTCAAGTTTTTTGAGGCCGTTTCGGAAGCCGAACCATAGACGGCCATGGCCGGAATGGCCGAGGGATCCAGAATTTCGCCCGATGTCGGGGAGACCTGACGATGGGGTTGCTCTTGCTTTGGTACCTTGGCCGACTTGGTCTTGTAGAACTCAAAGAGCATGTCGGAGACCTCGGTGACGGATAAGCGTTTACGGCGAGAACCTGGTAATTGGATCTTCTGATCATCTCGCTGTTTGCCATTGAGTATGCTGCGCTGGAAACTGCGTTGAATCTCAGCGGTGCTGACGGTCACTTCCGGGGCGGTATTCTCCTTCCTGCTCAAATCTGCAATCGGAAACATAGTTTTGATTAGTTTGATTTTCTTAGTTTTTCTCCGTTGGAAATTCCTTTGATTTTTTTGACAACTGTCAAAAGTTTTTTTTGTGGCTGTGACAAATGAAAAAGCAAATTGAAACTCTTTGGTTGCTGGGATTAGGACAAAAGGGTTTATATGGTGTTAGATGAAAGGCATGCATTAGAAATAAGCAATTTAAACTACAAATAAATAAATAAGTTAAAGCAAAACACATAATTTTTTCTTGTTTTTTTTTTTTATAAAATTAAACAAACAAAAGTACACGTAATTAAACATTTTATTAATTTAGTGAACACATTTTTTTTTGGCATTAACAAATAAATTAGAAAAGCTGCAGCAAATGAAAACACAATTATTTTGGTGATGGTGATGGTTGATGATGATGTTGTGGCTGATGTGTTGGTGGTTTTTTATGTGGTGGGTGAGTTTTTTTTTTTTTTTTTGAACCGAAACCTCTTTTTAAGTGAAACTCATTACCTGAGTAATCTAGAAAAACAGAGAAGAATAGGTTAGCTATGTGATGAAAATGAAAAATTTTCCGTTTTTATCTAACAGAACTGGGATTAATCCAAAGTTTGGGGGCACCTAAAAATAAATAAATTTATTTAATTAGTTTTTGTTTTTAAAATATAGTTTTCTGTGCCTTTTTACAATGTGTTGTTGTGTTTTATGACAACTATTATTAATTATTAAATATTATTTAAAATTCTGTAAATGTTAACACTTTTGACACAAAAACAAACAACACAGTTTAAAAAGCAAATTTAAGTGCAGGTTGCGGCTTTAGCTTTGAGGTTTGGTCTGGGTGCAACTTTATTATTTATTTAATTTAAAGTTTAAATAATTTAAATATTTATTAAAGGCTTTTTTCAAGCTTTTCTAGCTTTAATCACCGCATAATTTGCATTTTTAACCCACGACCAACGCACCGAAAAGCGTCCACACGGCAACACAATCAAAACTGCACTGTTTCGCTGGCATTTCTAGCTTACGGATTTTCAAATCCAAGTCCTAAGTCCCGAAACGCAGCTGCATCTCAAAAATACTCCTATATCTGCATCTGTATGCGTGAGTATCTATGTGCGTGTGCTAGGAAGCGTGTGTATCTGTTGCACAGCAAGTGTAGCCTGCCTGCTTTTTGGGTTCATTTTGAATCCTTGATTTATTTTCGGTTTTCGGGTTTTTCTACCTAAACTCAACAGTTGTTGTTTTTGTGGGCTGTCTGTTTTTTTCCCCTTCCTCTCTTTCTATTTATGGAAAACTGCAATACGGGAAAACTTTCTCTGAGAGTTTCCACGATCTCGCTTCTCTGTTTGTGCTAGCGAGGGAGGCAGAGAGTGAGAGAGCGGTTTTCAAAGCATTTCAAGCAGGCGCAGTGGAATATAGTGGAAAATATATGTATTTTAAGCCAGCTTCCGGTGGTGTTTTCCATGTTTATTTTCCATTTCCAAATGCATCTGTTCAAAATGCGTGTTAGAGTTTCAAGGTCAAGCGCAATTAAGTTAAATTGGATTGTTCTAGATTAGTAAAGTCATTAGAGATATTTCTGGAAATGCCTATGAAAATGCGTGGTTTTTGTAAAATTGTTGGGCTATTATTAATAAGTTTGAACTCAAAGCTTGTGTATGTTTTTTTAATAAAGACTTAATTTTTAAGTTCTAAGGTGTTTCTAAAGTATTTAGCTAAATTATAGAAGTCAGCCTCTACAAACTTTTATTTCCTGAAAGCTGATGTCAACTTTTTAATAAAATCAAATCGCGACAAAAATACTATTAACCAAGTTAAAGGATTTTTTAAAACTTCAATTTTAAGTCTTTCCAAATATTCCAAATATAATTTACGCATTTTCATTCTGAAAGAATCTACAAAATATTTCTGGAGGAATTACTTTAGTTTTCTAAACTTTTAATTTTATAAAAGTTGTTGTTATAAAGTTGTGTTCCGAAAATGAATATGCTTAATTATTTTAAAAATACTAAGATTTATTTTCGTTTAATTTTAAACGAATTCCTTAATATCTGAACTGTGGAAAAGTTAAGGACAAGGCAGGTCATAAATAAATCCCCATATGTTCAGAATTTCCAGAACTCTAACTTCGCGACGCTTCCTTTCTGGAAATATCTTCAAATGCACGCACACACAATTATCTTGTCGATCAAGGTTTACCGACCATTTTCCACGAAAAATCCCACACAAATAGCTTGGTAACCAGCCCCTGAAACTTCTGTGTCCTGTGTGTGTGTTTTTGAGTTGAGAGTTGATAGTTCAGACCAGGCTTTACGAAGGCAAAGCCCAAAAGGAGAGACCGATAGGGGCAGGCAGGCAAAATTGGGAAAATCAAGGAAAATCACGTGGGAAGCACGACTGCAAAAGCCGCACCAGCCAAGATACAGATACATACATATATAAACATAGATATAGATACAAAGCCGGGCAGCGTAGGCAGGCAAAACGCGGTACAGGCAGTGGAAAATGGAAAACTTATTTTTAGAAAAATACACAAACACAGGAAAACAGATCCTGATTTATGTGTGCGCAAATGTTTTT